GGAGGGCCAAAAATTAAACATCAACAAAATAAATAATCCAATTAATAAATGGGCAAATGAATTGACAATTTTCTAAAGAAGAAATAGAAATGGCTAATAAATGCATGAAGAAGACAGGCACCGGTGGTTCACACCTGTATCCTAGCTACTCAGGAGGCAGAGATCAGGAGGATCATGGTTCAAAGCCAGCCTGGGCAAATAGTTCAAGAGATCCTATATTGAAAAGACCCATCACAAAAAAGGGCTGGCAGAGTGACTCAAGGTGTAGGTCCTGAGTTCAAACCCCAGCATCCAAAAAAAAAAAAAAAAACACATGAAGAAATGGTCAGCACCCTTGGCCATAAAGGAAATGCAAATCAAAACCACACCGAGATTCTACCTCACCCAGTCAGAATGGCTGTCATCAAGAAAACAATAAATGCTGTGAGAATGGGAGGGAAGGGACCCTTATACACTTACGCACGGTTGGCAGGAATGTAAATTAATACAGTCACTGTGGAAATCTGTATGGAAGCCCCTTAAAAATCTAAAGACAGGGCTGGCAGTGTGGCTGAAGTGGTAGTGTGCCTGGCAAGCAAAAGGCCCTGAGTTTAAACCTCAGCACTGAAAAGAAAATTTAAAACTACCATACGATTCTCTTGTGCCACTCCTGGGCACATATACAAAGCATGTCAGGCACGATAGAGCCAGGTACCTGCACACCCACATTTACAGCATCACTTTTCACAATCGCCGAGCTATGGAATCAGCCTAGGAGCCTACAACTGATGAATGAATAAAGAAAATGTGACGGCAGGGATGAACCTGACCAAGCTACACTGTCTTCATATATGGAAATGTCACAATGAAACCCCTACACAACTATTATATTGCTAACAAAAATGTTTTAAAAAAAGAAAGAGAATGAGGTACATACACAAAACTATTATTCAGCCATAAAGAAGAATGAAATTATGTCCTTGACAAGAAAATGGATGGAACTAGAGATCATCAGGTTAAGTGAAGTTAGCCAGAATGGTGAAGGACAAATCTCACATGCTGTTTCTGAGATGAGGAATCTAGTCCTTAAAAATGGATGACAGGAGGGCCAATCAGTTCTATTTGGGAATGGGAACCGCATGGAGGGAGGAGAGTGAAAGAAGAGTGTGGAGGGGATGAATATAACAGAAGTACTTTATGCACATGTATAGAAACAGATCGCTGAAAACTGTTGAAACTGACTTGAGAAGGGAGAGAAGAGCCAGGCGCTGGTGGCTCACACCTGTGATCCTAGCTACTCAGGAGGCAGAGATCAGAAGGATCTCTGTTCAAAGCCAGCCCTGCAAATAGTTCTTGAGACCCTATCTCGAGAAAACCCCTCACAAAAATAGGGCTGGTGGAATGGCTCAAGGTGTAAGCCCTCAGTTCAAACCCCAGTATGCCAAGGGAAAAAAAAAAAAAAAGGGCGAGAAAGAGGACAAGGGGACAAGGGGGAAGAACAGAGGGGGCAAATTTACTTGGGGGTACATTGTGTGTGCATATGGAAATACCACAATGAAACCCCTTTGTACAACTAATACATGCTAATAATTATGTAAAATAAAAGTTTATTTCTTTTTTGTTGACTTTTTAGTTGTTTTTCTTATTCTTAAAAATGTTTTTTTTTAATGACTTGCAATTCCTTAGAAATATGCTAATGATAGAAAAGTACAAAAAGGAAGATAAATGTATTCTTTTAAACAAGGCTTTGGATTCCAGAGCAAATATATTTTTATTTATCCTTTTTTTGCAATGCTGAGGACTGAACCCAGGGCCTTGCACATGGTAAGCGAGGCTGTATCCCTTGAGCCACGCCCCCAGAATAAATACATTTTAAAACATACCCTAGCAGTAAAGAAGATTGGCAGGGAGGAAAAACCAAGAGCTTAGCCGCTGCTGCTTATTGGACGGTGGGGAATTCGGTGATTCTTTTGCCCTTTGTCTGGATTTCTGCGTTTTTGAAGCTTGATTTCACCGTACTAAAGGCTCCTAATAGGCGAGGTTTCCATTGCGAGTATCCTCAGAAACCATAAAAAACAGTACTGCGTGAGAATATTTGAAAACCTTCTTCGCTGTCAGAGGCAGCTCCCTGCTCCCCTTGACCCATCGGACTCAGTTTCTCCATCCTGCCCATGGGGGCATGAAGACAATGGACACCCGGGGCCGCCACAGCTCGGGAGCTGATGGTAGGGACCCAGTGCCTTCACTCGCCTGGGAAAAGCTGGGCAGCTGCGGCCACGCGCGGTTGCGAAATCTCGTAGGCGTCTCAGAGGCGCGTCAGGGCCGGTGGCCGGTTAGCTCAGTTGGTTAGAGCGTGGTGCTAATAACGCCAAGGTCGCGGGTTCGATCCCCGTACGGGCCAGGGTTGTCTTTTTCTTTTTTTTTTAATACTATGTATGTAACACATTTAAAATGTTCTTGTATATATTAAGAGCAAAGATATTTCTGATGTGCCAAACAAATTTAGCCATTTCTGTCAGTCACCTTCCGACAAGTTTCAATAGCTTCATGAGAAATTTTGTACTTTTTACATTGTCGATGTTTTTGTATACTGAGAGAATTTCACATGTTTTAATGTCTGTTACATAGAAAGTGTTGGTTTGAAAGTTGTCACAGGCGGCCCACTGGGGAGAGCCAGCGGGACCCAGCGCTGTCGCCCAAGTTCCCGCTGCTGCAGCCACCTGTAGCATCCGTTTTGGGACATCACTGGTTAGGTCTTTTAAAACCTGTTGCTTTAAAGCGAGCTCCGGTTTGTCTGGAGGTGCCGCACGGCTGAGACAGGTGCTCTCGGACGGCACCTCCGGGTGGTCCCTGTCTCGGCGATTTCCGTGTTCCTGGAGTCTTTAGAGTTGAAAATCCAGGTCTGGGATTAATGCATTCCACAAATATTTATCGTGAGCCTACTGCATTGCCTAGTTGTATGCAGGAGCAAAGCAGTGCAGGAGTTTCACGCATCACGCGTTGTGTCCACGCAATGAATGAATGCATGAAGCTTTCTATTGATATTTTCTCTCCCCCCCTTCGTTCCTCCCTCCCTCCACCTCCTCTCTCTCTCTCTCTCCACTCCCTCCCTCCCCCCCAGCCCACTCCCTCTCTGTCTCCTTTTCTTTTTTAGATCTTAGGCTCTACATTTCTTCCTCTTGGTTCTGCATTTTGCAACCAGAAGGCAGTGGATGAATTTCTCACTGTAGGCTCAGTGTCCAGGTGCAGCCAGGTGTGTTTAATTTAACACAAACCAGTTTTCCAGGGTCAATGCCATTTTATATTAACATCCAGCAGGGACTCCAGGGAAAACATCTATATCATTCATTTTTGAGGGGGGACAGGATTGGAGTACTGGGGGTACTTGGGCTAGCTATGCAGATGCTCTACCACTGGAGCCACACCCTCAGCATCATTCATTCTTTTCTCAAATATATATTAAAATCTGACCTAAATATGAAGAAGACTAAGTGCACAGATCTCAGGCTTAAGCCCTTGGTAAGTGCTCAGGGTGTAGTAAAAACGCCCAGTACAGTAAATATCAGCTGATGTGACTGTTGTGATTACAAACAAAGTTATAAGAACCTGGGACTACTGACACATAAGATAGGCACTTGCACACAGGTCTAATGTCACATCATGGAATGTATATGCTGGGTACTTGATTAAATTCAGGGATGAAGCAGGGAAGTGAAACTGAACATTGAGACCAGATCTTGTGCCTGACTCCCTTTTTTTTTTTTTCCAGTACTGGATTTGAACTCAGGGCCTCCAGCTTTTGAGGCTGGCTCTCTACCACTTGAATCACTCTGCCAGCCCTTTCTTGTGTTGAGTATTTTCGAGATAGGGTCTCTGGAAGTATTTTCCAGGGCTGGTTTCCAGCGTCGGTCCTTCTAATCTCTGTTTCCTGAGTATCTGAATATCTAAGATAACTTAGATAAATATCTAAGATGAGCCACCAGCACTTGACTCCTTCTTGAACTTTGTCTTTCCCACAATTAAATGAAGTGTGTTTTCTTTCATTACTATGATCTTGGCGATCAGCAAGAAGGCCTTGGAATGATGCCCTTTCTAGCCTGTCCATTGTGTGAGATGAGGAACTGCATTCTAGCAAACAAGTGAGTAAGTAATGATCTTTATTCTTGAGATTTGCAGAATGAAATAGCACATCTCTTGACTAGGAGATCAAGATCAGATGTGTGTCAGTTGGCCATAAGCCTTCCCCTGTGTGAAGTGCCCACCAGTCTGGATCACCCATCTATCTCCTACATAAGCCACACCTAAATCGGTTCCCGGGGGACATGACCTTGAAGACAAGATGGTCCTGCATCTTCTGATCACCTAGCTCATTGTAATAAAGTTCTTTTTACCACTGCCTTGCCTCTTTACTAAGTGGCTTGCTCCCACTGGGGAGAAGTTCGGCACCAACCTCTAAGCAGACATAGTCACAAAACTATCAGATCTAGGTTGGGGGGCGTGGCTCAAACGGTAGAGCGCCTGCCTAGCAAGTGCGAAGCCCAGAGCTCAAACTCCAGTGCCACAAAAATAAATAAATATGCAAACTTTGGGTGTCCTTTTAGATCAATTCAATCAGAACATCTCGGGGTGGGGCTAGGAATGCACAAATCCAGACAGGATGCTCAAGTGATTCTCACGCAGGACGACGCGGAGAACATTTGAATGGTGCAGTGTTAGGCCAGGAGCCCTGAAGCCCTCCGCCTGGGATACCCCGGGCAGCTCCAGGAGGAGGTGACATCTGAGAGTTGGAATAAGGCTGGTCCCTACGGCCGATTCATTCAGCCCTATGCCAGATGGTGGCTGTCGAGCAAGGGGCGGGGCTTGCAGAAACCCCGCCCCCTCAAGGACCAGCTCCACCGGCACGGTCGCCTTCCGAGGTGTCTTGGCCTGCGGGGCCCTCGTAGTTCGCTCCTTTCCCAGGTGACGCATATTCGCGCCGCCGTCGCTCAGCGACACAGGTTCGAGTCCCCGCTTCGGCCGCCATGGCGGGCGCGGAGCCGGGGCCCGAAGGCAGTAGCGAGGATGGCGGCGGCGGCGGCGGCCCGGCTCTTCCCGGCCAGAGCGTCAGCGCGGCGCGCGTGGCCCCGCTGGGTCCCGAGCAGCTGCGGCGAGTCCTGGAGCAGGTGACGAAGGCCCAGTCGCCCGCCGAGCCGCCGCCGCCACCGCCCTTCGTGCCGCAGGACGCGGCGCGGCGGCTGCGGGACGCGGCCCAGCAGGCCGCCCTGCAGCGGGGTCCGGGCGCCGAGCCCCCGCGCCCGCCGCGCCTGCTGCCGCCCCAGGTGAGGCGCCGGGAGGGACGAGGGGGAAACTGAGGCCTGGAGGGGCCGAGGCCTCGCGGCAGGGGCAGGCCCGTCGACCTCAGAACGGCCGGCTGCAGAGTTCAGTACCCGCCCGAGCCGTGGCCCGCGCTGGGCCCCCTTTCGCCGCCCTCGTGCCCTGCTCAGGGCTTCTCGGCGCTCCCTGCCCCTTCCAACGGGCCTTTTTGTCCATTCATGCAGCATTTACAGAGCACTTCCTGTGTGCCAGGTGCTGCCCTAAGTGCAGGAGAGGCTGCTTTGAAGCCACTCTGTGACAGGGGGCGGGTGTCCAGTGTGGGTGGCCTCGGAGGCCTGACTCTGAGCTGACAGCTGAACGGATTAAAAGGATCCAATGTAGAGAGCTTCCCTGCTGGGAAGCTGCTAGCCCAGACCTGGGACAGAACAGAGGAGTTTCTGGTAGTTTGCTGCAGGACTTGCCACCCTGAGTGGTGATAAGTGAGTGACCCCAACACCCAGCACAGCACCCCGGTACACGCTTAGGGACTGCAACACGTGAAAGCACTCTACTACAGAACATCCTCTCAAGGGGGTTATTTACTGGACCACACAGCTCTTGGCTGCTAGGGGAATTGGCTCTAGAAAGTGGCCTCTCCACCTGGGAACGTCCAGATGTGTCCCATCCTGAAGAAGGAGGTCTTGCACTCTTGTGTAAAGTCACATCTCCTTTCCCTGCTGGGACTGTAAATGACAAAATGCTTCTCCCCTCAGAATTGCCAAAAGAAGAGAGCTTCTTCCACAAGAAGAAATAGGATACAGGATGGAATCAACAGTCTTCAACTTGGTTTTGAGTGATTTGGGGCGGCACAGGCTTGTACCCAGTGATCAGCCAACCTAGAGAGCAGTCTTGCTAAAGGTTGGGAAGCATGATTCTGCCCACCACACGTTCACTAGACGTTGACCTTGGGTGACGCCCTGTTTGGGCTTTGGTGTCCTTGTTCGCAGGCAAGCTGGCTCATGCGATGAGGCTTCTGGTTAGGACTCTGCTGAGGAAACAAATGCCTTCCCACAGTCTGGGCATTGCACCATTGGTACAACCACCATTGGCTGCTCCTGTTTGCAGAGCTGCTCCTGTTTGCAGAGCTGCTCAGCAGCCACACAATAGTGGTTTTGTATCAGCATTTTATAGGCGGGCAACAAGCTCAAAGAGGTTGAGTGACTTTGCCCAAGGTCCTGCAGGTGTGGCTACACTCCAGAGCCCGTGTCCTCACCACACTGCTGAATGTGGCCACAGCTTTTTGAGTTTGGTGTGGCAGTTTGGAAAGAGTCCAGTGATGACACATTTTCCATCTAATGAAAGCAAACTTAATGAAAACTAGGCAGCATGATAGAAATGTGTTCTGTAGTTAATCTAATGGAAGGGTATAAATTCTGTCTGTACTCACACTGTACCTTTGTGGTCTATGCCACTAACAGGAAGTGAAGCATGACCCAGATAACTTCTAACCAAGGTCAAAAAGCTACAGCTACAAAGAATTAAATGGATTTGGAGAAAGGGAGATTATTTCTGGCTGAGGGGACCCCAAGCCACTGTGAAGAGGCTGTTGAAGAGGTGGTTTTGAACTAGTTCAGAAGGATAGGTCTAAATTGAAAAAGAGGAAAAGGAGTGGTGCCATTCAGTGCAGGGGCTGGGTGCATTGAGACACCTAGGGCAGAAGGCTCAGTACAGGCCAAGCAGACCCACTCCCCTGATCAAGGCTCCTGTCTGCCCCCAGCTTCCCTGCTCTCACCCCACAAAAGCATTTCCAGTTCCACCCAACACCTGGGCCCTCTTTCATGTGTCCATGCATTCATTTGTTTTTCGTTACATCCAGAATGCCCTTTCTCACCTGGCAAAAATTCTTTGCAGCCTTCAAGGCATCTCTCAGACATTACCTTTTTTGGAACACCCACCACCTACAGGGTGTTCCTGCCTCTCTAACGGGTCTGTACCATGATACCATTGTTTTCTTACTGCCTCACCTGTCTCTGTTCCCTGGGAATCTTGACTGTCTTCAGAATCATCAGAACTTTTGAAAGGCCAGGTCTCAGGACTCCGTCCCAGGAAATCCAATCCAACAGGTCTACAGGGGCTGAAGCAGGCAGGGAAAACACTGCAGGATAAGGCTAGGGCTTGTCTAGTGTTTAGGAATGGGCACCAGAAGACTTATAAAAGTTTGCTGAATGAAATAAACATATAGGATAGTACAGTTATAATACCCACACAGGAAGCCAGTCTGGTTATCAGATAAATAAATTATTAGGCCAGTTTTGCTGCTGTGGCAAAGGATTTAGTGTGTATGTTCTTTTGGCAATATCCCAAGAGTGTAGAGAAATATTCTAAATGGTAGTAAAATGAAATAATGGTTCTTGAAGGATATACACAGTAAATCTAGTTGTCACTGAGGCACAACTAGCCCAGGAATTATGTACTCACAGGACACTTGCGCTGACTCTATACTTCATGAGCCAAAATCTCAAATTCTTTCTGCTGTTTGTAATAGTGTATAATACACGGACAAGAGATGTTCTCTAACTTGATTTTTGTGTGGGTTTTTATTCTGCCCTGTGTGACATTTTTACTGACCCTTCATGGGTAGAGGGTTGGGTCCAAAGAGGACCTGTTGGTCCCAAATCAGTAGTTCTCAACCGAAGGCCATTTTGGCCCACAGGGAGGGTGCTTTGTGTGTGTGTGTGTGTGTGTGTGTGTGTGTCTGTGTGTGTCTGTGTGCATGTGCAAAGGATGGAACCCAGGGACTTGTGCATGCTAGGCAAGTGTTCTACCAGTCTCTAAAGGCATCTTTTGTTGTCTGACTTGGAGGTAGGGGCAGTGTGCCGCTCATTATCCTACAGTGCATAGAATAGCCCCCACAATAAGAATCACCAGTCCCAAGTGTCAGCTGTGCTGAGGTTAGAACCCTGCTCTCCATGTCATTTCTCTCTCTTTTCTCCTTGAAGGAAAATGCTCATTTTTTCTGCTCTCTGGGGGTGGGAACCTTGTTGATTCTGCTGCCCTAACCTCTCCCCTGACAGCTGTATCCCTAACACCAATGACTATCACTGGCACATAGTCAGTGCTCAATAAATGTTTGTGGATGCTGCTGAAGACAGCCCTTCTTCGTAGGTGTTTCACTACTGCAGACAGTGCTACCTTGAACCTTCTAGAACATATATCTTTGTGCTCACTTAAGTGTTTTCTTATGGAATCCAACAAGTGGAACTGCTGGGTCAAAGAGCACATGCATTTAAGTTGTTGGGTTTTTTAAATAAAAAAATCTTGAAGAATGCAGCCCCACTCTTAGGTGTTTCTCTCCTTGAGAAACTCATACATGTAGATACACATACTGGTGAGGTAAGAGCCAACCAAAAGAACAGAGGGTGAGGAACCGCCTGTCCATCAGCGGGAGAACGGGGTACTCATACTGCAGAGAAAGTGAACCACCAGAGCGCCATGTCAATACAGATGAATTTCTCAAAACTAAATAGTAAAAAACCAGAAATGCTCACCAAGGCTGGAGTTGTAGCTCAAGAGGTAGAGAACTTGCCTAGCAGGCCCAAGGCCCTGGATTCAATCCCCAACCCTGTAGGAAGAAAAGCAGGAAGGGAGAGAGGGAGGGGGAAGGTGGTGGAGAAAGGGAGTAGGAGGGTGAATATGGTGCAAAAAATGGGTACACATGTATGCAAATGCAAAAATGATACCTGTTGAAACTATTCCAGGAATTGGGTGGGGGGTAGGCAACAACAAACAAGTGTGGAGGAGGTGAATTCAAGTGTGATATATTTGATACATTGTAAGAACCTTTGTAAATGTCACAATGTACCCCCACCCAACACAACAATAAAGAAAAAAAATGTAGAAACTCGCTGGGTGTGGGTGCCTCACACCTGTAATTCTAGCTTCTCAGGAGGCACAGATCAGGAGGATCTTGGTTCAAACTGTTTGGGGCGAATACTTCCCTGAGACTCTATCTTAAAAACATTCAACACAGAAAAGGGCTAGTGGAGTGGACTGACCGTGAGGCCCTGAGTTCAAATCCCAGTACCACCAAAAAGAAAAAAGTCAAAACTGAATCCTATTTGTAGAGCTATCTGCATATGCACTATAAATATTAAAAACACGTAAGAATAGTAACACATTCAAGAAGAGCATAGAGGTGGGAGGATAGAAGAAGACTTCATCAACTGCCAGTGTTTCATGTTGTTAGGTGGGTGGTGGGTTACTTTTTTTTTTTTTTTTTTTTTTTTTGCTGTACTGGGGCTGGAACTCAGGGCCTTTCCCTTGAGTCACTTCACAAGCCCTATTTTTGTGAAGGGTTTTTTGAGATAGGGTCTCCTGAACTATTTGCCCAGGCTGACTTTGAACCACAATCCTCCTGATTTCTGCCTCCTGTGTAGCTAGGATTAAAGGTGTGAGCCACTGACACCTGCCCAAACATTGTTCATTAGGATTTTTTGGTTTCCAGAATTTCCTTTAAAACGTCTTTAAAATGAGCTCACACGTTGAATTGAATTCAATTTTTAGAGTACAGTACTAAGAATGCCAAGTAAAAACACATGAGTAAAACTTAATAATGAGTCATGAGATAAATTTACCAGATTATGTGGTTTTTAAATCCACGTAGGGTAAATACTATCAGAGCATTTACATAGGAATAGTAAGTAGGTTGCTGAACTTCTTATTTCATTTTGTCTCTACAAGTGTTTCAGCACATGTGTATGGTACTTGGTTGAGATGTAACATGCATCCCGATGCTCTGGTCATATCCAATGGACTTGTATCTAAGGTGTTAATTTAGAAAAAGTCAACAGTGTATTTATGATGAAGACAAAATTGCAGAAACATTGATAAGCAAATGTTAACTTTTTTCTGGTTTCTCTCTGTATTTAAGCAACTAGAAGCCATTTATGTCAAGGTGACATCTGGTGACACAAAAAGTCAGGAAAGCCCAATGCCCCCACTGGCGACCATCCAGCCCAAAGCAGCAAGACAGAGTCAGCCACTGGGGAGGAACTCCAGTCTGGTGGGGCTCAGTGTCACCAGCCCTCCCCTGCTCAGGGTGCAGCCCCTTGGGAGGACTGGGTCACAGCTGTGCATCCTCAGAGGCTCGCCTCAGCCTCCTGCTCCTCAGGTGTTTGTACAGAGGCCACTGCCTGCCCTCCAACCACTCCCTTCAAAGACAGACACGGCCCAGGCTTCCACTGGACAGGGTGCCAGGTTGACACCTTTGCCGGCCTGTGACCCTCCCGCAGTAGCATCTGTTTCGTCCAGTTCAGCACGTCTATTAATTTCCAGCTTGCATACTAAACATACTGAGAAACCAAGAAAACCTCTGAAAGTGAAAACACGTTCTGGACGAATATCTCGACCTCCCAAGTACAAAGCTAAAGATTACAAGTTCATCAAGACCGAGGACTTGGCGGATGGGCACCCATCGGATTCTGACGACTACTCAGAACTGAGCGTGGAAGAGGAGGAAGAGCAGAGGGAGAAGCAGGCACTATTTGACCTATCCAGCTGCGCCCTGAGGCCCAGGGCCTTTAAGTGTCAGACCTGTGAGAAGTCTTATATAGGAAAGGGGGGACTGGCCCGGCATTTTAAACTCAATCCAGATCATGGCCAGCTCGAGCCTGAGGAGTCACTGTCTGAGAAAGCCAACAGGAGCCTGACCCAGGCATGTGTAGAGGGAAGGATTGGAGGCCTGGCCTCCCCTGAGCTGGCCACACCAGCTGTGCCCTGTGAGGAAGGGGCAGAAGCAACACGGGGTGGCCTGCAGGTAATGTTTCTGTCTGATGACAATGTCCTTATCTCTGCTCCTTTCTGCCCATTAATCCTTAAATTAACCCTTAAGGTGTCTAATGGGTGTTCAGGACCCAAATGGTCATAGTGAGGGCCTGAAACCCAGTATTGTCTACAGTACTGCCAAGCAGGTGAGGAGACAGACAATGTCATCTGCTCTCCCCCGCCCAGCCTTCCTGTGAGCACAGTGTCTGGGAACACAGTTACTAGCTCTTTAAAACTAGTCAACACAGCTGTTTGTGGCACATGCCTGGCTGACGTTGATGTTACAGAGGGTACTGGGAAAGGCCATAATTGCAGTGCCAGTCCATGGGGTGCTTCCCAGAGCATCACAGTAATAGGCTGTTTGGCCTATCCTTTCCCTGTTCTGCCCCTTCTCAAACTCCCAATGAAACAAAAGCAGCTGTGGCTCACTGTATTGCCACACCAAGATATTTTATCGTGGGAAGGTATACATAGCATGAAGTTCATGATCTTAACTAAGTGTGCAGTTCAGTGATACTAAATGCATTCATAGTGTTTTGCAGTCTTCACCATTATCCACTTCATCCTGTATAATGGAAACCCTGTACCCAGAGACACTAACTCCTCTCTCCTCCTCAGCCCTTGGCAGCCATCACCCTACTTTCTGTGATTTCAACTTCTCTGATACCTCATATCAGTGGAATCAGACAGTATTTGTCTTTTGGCAACTGGCTCGTTCCATAAGCACATGTCTCTCAGATTCACCATGTTGTAGTACATGTCAGAATTTTCTTTCTTTTTAAGGCTGAGTAAGATTATCTGATATGAGGAGGATCATGGGTCAAAGCCAGTCTGGACAAATAGTTCAAGAGATGCTGTCTTGAAAATACCCAATACAGAAAAGGGCTGGCAGAGTGGTGTAAGTGGCAGAGCGCCTAGCAAGTATGAGGCTCTGAATTCAAACTTCAGTCCCACCCTAAAAAAGAAAAAAGATTATCTGATATGTGTGTACCACATTTTGTTTATGCATATACTTGGGTTGTTTTCACTTTTGGCTAGTGTGAATAATACTGCTATGAACATGCATATACAAAAATCTCTTGAGGCTGGGCACTGGTGGCTCACACCTGTAATCCTAGCTACTTGGGAGGCAGAGATCAGGAGGATCACAGTTCATAGCCAGCTCAGGCAAATCATTCTTGAGACCCTATCTTAAAAATACTGAACACAAAAAAGGGCTGGCAGAGTGGCTCAAATAGTAAGAGTGCCTGCCTAGCAAGCACAAAACCCAGCAAGTTCAAAACCCAGTACTGCCAAAAAAAGTAATTGTAGTACTTTTGGGTATGTACCCAAAGGTGGAATTGCTGTATCATATGATAGTTCTATTTTTAATTTTTAAGTTCTAGTTTTTTTTTTTTTTTTTTGTGAGATGGGGGCTTGAACTTAGGGCCTCAAACTTGCCAGGCAGGTTCTCTTATTGCTTGAGCCACTCTACCAGCCCTTTTTTTGTGATGGGTTTATCAAGATAGGGTCTTGTGACTTATTTGCTGGTTTCAAACCATGATCCTCCTGATCTGTGCCTCCTGAGTAGCTAGAATTACAGACGTGAGCCTCTGGTGCCTGGCATATTTTTAATTTTTTGAGGAACTGTCGTACTGTTTTCCACAGTGGCTGCACCATTCTACACTTCCACCAACAGTGCACAAGGGGTGCAAGTTCTCACATTCTTGCCAACACTTATAATTTTTTTTGCAATACTGATGTTGAATTTAGGACTTTGCGCTTGAGAGGCAGGCACTCTACCACTTGAGCCATGTCTCCAGCCCTTTTAGCTCTGATTATTTTAGAGGTAAGGCCTTACTTTTTGTTCAAGCTTGTGGAGATAGTGATCTCCTATTTCATACTTCTGCCACAGCTGAGATGACAGGTGCATGTCACCACACTCAACTTTGTCCATTGAGATGGAGTTTTGAGAACTTTTTTTTTTCTTTTTTTTTGACCCTGGCTGGCCTAGAACTATGGTCCTCTTGATCTCAGCCTCTCAAGTAACTAGGATTACAGGTGTAAGCCACCAGTACCTGGTTTTCCTTTTTTTGATAGTGCCATCCCAATGATAACAATGTGGTATTAGTTTGCATTTCCCTAATGATCGAAAGGTGTGTTGGTGCACAGCTGTAATCCCAGCACTTGGGAGGCTAAGGCAGAGGATCCTGAGTTTGAGACCAGCCTGGGCTACACAGCAAGAACCTGTCTCAAAAATAAATAAACCAAGCCAGACGAGGTGGTTCAAGCCTGTAATCCTAGCTACTTGGGAGGCGGAGATCGGGAGGATTGTGGATCAAGGCCAGCCTTGACAAAATTTCATGAGATCCCATCTCAAACACTAAAAGTAACTGAAGTGATAAAGCACCAGCCTAGCAAGTATGAGGCCATGAGTTCAAGCTCCAGTTCTGAAAAAAAAAGTTTAAAAAAAAAAAAAAAGAAAGCTGAGTGTGGTGGTGGTGGTGGTGGTGGTGCATACCTGTCATCTCAGCTCTTAGGAGCATAAATAGGAGGATCACTGTCCAGGCCAGCCTGGGCAAAAAGTGCAGGAAGATAGTGAGTTCCAGACCAGCCTGGCCTACATAGTGAGACCTGATCTCAAAAAACAATAAAACAAACAAACAAAAAGGTAGGTGGCTGAGGTATGAGTTTCTGAGGTTATGAAAATATTCTGGATTTAGGTAATGGTGAACAATACAACCTATGACTGCATTAGACCCACTGAATTAGATGCTTTCAAAGGATAAAGTGTATCCCATAAAAACTGAGAAGGTCGTGGATATGTTAGAAATTAGAAACAAAGCTCAAGATTGCTGTTGTTGATGGTTGGGTACCGGGGGTTGAACCCAGGTCAATGGTGTGCTAAGCACGTGGTCTGCCACCGAATTACACCTTAGTTCACCCAGGTTAATTTTTTTTAAAATGATGGTCAGAAAAGTCTCCTTTCATTTTGATCAGCACCCCAGGGTTTTGGTTTGTTTCCCAGAGTTATTGACTATCTAATAATCCTCTGGTGTCCTACAGGGGTACTGTGCAGGCAGAGCTTAAGATGCACTGATTATAGTTAAAACAATCTTGATTAAAGAAGAAAGAGTGCAGCAAGTTCCTTGCTTTTGACTTGACTTTTTTCTGCTTTAGGGTTTTCATGATGGTGTATAAAGCATTTTTTAATTTAATTTCATTTTATTTTTGGGTATATAACTCCGTCTAGAATAGTCAATCTGTAGAAGTTGAAGCGGCAATGGTGCCTGAACTGGGAAATAGACATCATGCAGCTCATTTGGGATCAGAACGACACCAAGGACCTAGAAGACGTGGAGAGTCAGAGACCCTGGCAGAGTCCAGTACAGCCATCCTCCAGCTGGGCAGAGCAGCTCAGCTGAATGGAGGCCCTGCTATGGCTGCTGGGCAGAGTGTCTCAGGGAGCAGAGCCCAGCTCAAGGAGGTACATCACTCTTACACCCTGTGCTGGAAAACTGTTTCTTTGGCATGAAATGTAGAAATTCACTATTAGGTTTCTGAACTTAAAAGTAAAACACTTTAGCTGAGCATGGTGGTCCACGCCTGTTTTCCCAGCTTCTAGGAGGCTAGGCAGAAGGATCATGAGTTCAAGGCAGCCTGACCTGTCTTAAAAAAAAATGGCCTGGTGCTGGTGGCTCACGCCTGTAATCCTAGCTACTCAGGAGGCAGAGATCAGGAGGATCACAGTTCGAAGCCAGCCTGGGCAAATAGTTCAAGAGACCCTATCTCAAAAACACCCATCACCAAAAGGGCTGGTGGAGTGGCTCAAGGTGAAGGCCCTGAGTTCAAACCCCAATACCGAAGAGAATATATATATATAGGATGCGAGGGTGATCTGGTTGTGACATCTGTCACCCCATTGATCGCCAGGGTTGATTTGGCTGATCTGGCTGGCCAGGCAGGTGCACTCTTGCTCCCTCATGCTCCTTGTGTGTCCCTCCTGAAGCTGTGTGTTCAGTCAAAGATGACGACCATCCCCAATGGAGGACTGTTCTTTGGTCAAGAGTGGCTGTGCTCCCCTGCTAGAACCTCCAAATAAGCTCTTAAAAATTAAACAGTTCACCTGAAATGATATTGGATCAAGTATGTGATAAACTCAGGGATCATATTATCTAAAATAATTCATAGGTTTACCTGTTTAAAATAACTGTTACCAATCGTTGGGTTGTTCCAGATGTTCTTTGTCTTAGGTGCAAATCTAAGATTCAGATGCTTTCCTAGGTGCAGCAAAAGAACCACAAAGAGTAAGAACATAATAAATATTGATTTAGGGTTGGTGGAGCAGTTCAAGTGGTAGAGCACCTGCCAGCAAGTGTGAGACCCTGAGTTCAAACTTTTAATACCACCAAAAAAAAGTGATTTATTAGGCTGGGCACTGTGGCTCACAGCTGTAATCCCAACTATTCAGGAGGCCCAAATTAGGAGGATGAAGGTTTGAGGCCAGCCCAGGCAAAAAAGTTTGCAAGACCTCCCATCTCAATCAATAAAAGTTAGGTATGGTGGTACACATCTGTAATCCCAGTTACGTAGAAAGCATAAGTAGAAGGATCATGGTCTAGCCCAGTCCAGGCATAAATCGAGACTCGGTCTTAAAAATAACCACAGCGGAAAGGCTGGGAGTGTGGCCTATGTTACAGAGCACCAGCTTAGCAAGTCTGAGACCCAGCATCAAAAAAAGAAAACAGTGACCTATTAGGAGAGCTGAACTACACCTCAAGGAATGAGGTAGGCAGTTTGGGTAGACTGATTGCATGGAAGCTCTGGGGGATTGGGGTTTTATCCAATAGGGCGGGGTTACTAAGTGGTGTGAAACCACTGTGCAGAGGCTGCCAGGGTGTGGGAGGGCATAGGTCTGTGCACTTGATACTCTTTGCTCTTCCCGGTTTAACCTTGATATGGGGAATGGGTACCATAAATATAGGAGCATAATCTTATTCATTGGCCCAGGGTGTGGGCCATTTGAGGGTTTTACAATGGAGTCTTGAGGACCAGGGCATTTCCTTGTTCCCTGTTCATGCCTGCCAGTAATAACATGACTCCTGTGTAACTCCTTTATGAGTTTGGAATAATTACGACCTGTGTTTACATGGAAGCAATTCAGAACACAATAGATCACATAATAAAGTGAAAGCACACTTGGGAGATATGAGGATAGGTAAAACACCCAAAAAACTAGATAGCATTTGTTGCCCTCAATGCAGAGAAACTAATGCAGATACTTTAAAGTGACAGAGGCCAATAGGAGAAGGGGACCAGGAACTAGAGAAGAGATTAGTTTGAGAAGAATTAATTTAGAAGGTAACACACATGCACAGGAAATCAATGCAAGTCAACTCCCTGTATAGCTATCCTTATCTCAACTAGCAAAATCCCTTGGTCCTTCCTATTATTGCTTATACTCTCTCTTCAACAAAATTAGAGATAAGGGCAAAATAGTTTCTGCCTGGTAGCGAGGGGGTAAGGGGGAGAGAGAGGGAGTGGGAGGGGTAAAAGAGGGGGTGAGGGAAGGGGGAAGAAATGACCCAAACATTGTATGCACATATCAATAAAAGAAAAATAAATAAATAAATAAATAAATAAATAAAAATTGGCAAGGGGCTTACGACATAAAGAAAAAAAAAAAGAACACAACAGAAATAGTTTCCTCTTTTTCTGTAAAAAATGTCAAAGTATACAAAGCACATTTCCAGCTTAGCACCCTGCTATCTCTGTTCTAGCTCCCTAAAAGTGTAGATTAACTGGATTTAACTGTATTCACTTGAAAAAGTATAATCCTATATTTATCCAGATTGTCTTTGGATAGTATGTATTTATTTGCCTGTTAATGGCCAGGTGAATATCTTAAAGGGAAGAACTGGAAAAAATAGCAAGAGACGCATTAGTGATATGACTGGCCCTGGACAGAGTGGCTGTCAAGGCCCCAGGGCCCCCAGACTCCTACACACAGGGGAAGCAGTGGGTTTCCCAAAATGTATCTGAGGCACAATGTAGTGTTGTTAAATTGTAGCAGTAGCAGAATTTTTTTTCTTTTTTTTGGGGGGGGGGGCGGGGGGCGAGGCAGTACTGGGATTTGAACTCAGGGTTTTGCACTTGCTAGCCAAGTGGTCTTCTACATAGCAGCAAATTTAAATCCTGGTGAGTTAGCTTTACTCCAATTTGTCTTGTACTGTGACAATCTCATATGATTAATTTTTATAAAGTAGGAGCAGGTAGTGTCCAATTGTTCATTGACATAGAAACAGCCACCAAATATTGAGCACTTTCTATGTGGCAGCTCAGCACCCCTCACACCTACATCCTGGTCAACTGTCTTTCATTTATTCCATACTAATCACTGTCTCATCTCAGTGGATGAGCAACTGAAACTCAGAGAGGTGAGCAACCTGCCCAGGGTCTTCTGCAGGCAGGAGGGAGGTCTAGACTTTAAATCCAGGCTATTTGGTGTCTGTTGAGTGGGAGCATATGGTAGGGTGTCTGAGGCAGTGAGGACAACCCATTCTGTCCATGAGTGACACTGATGGGGACACTGCCAGCTTGAGAAGGCAGGTTGCTGCTTTGAATAGGGACATTCTCGACTCTGTTGAATGAGAATTTACTCCAGAAATGGACAGTACTTTACACAGGTGCTGGATGTCCATAAAGCACCAGGCCCAGGTGGGGTGTGGAAGAGAACAGTGTGACACTGTCACAAATAGACACTGCCTCTGCCCTAGCTGTGCCTGGGGTTAGGGGTAGGGTAAGGAAGGAGAGTTGATAGTCAAACCCATCAGTTGACAAAACTGTGAAGTGAGTGGATATGTACATACAGCATATAACTGAGGAGCTTCCCTGTCTCTTGTTCTTGAGCTCATGAGAATTTAGCCAGGTCTTGGCAAGGTGACACCCTAATGACCTTTCTGCACTTCCTATACAGTTGAAATCAGCTGACCATTTTTCCCTAAGGGTTTTTAAAAGTGATAGTTTAGAATTTTTGAATTGCCAATGAAAAGGTTTTCCTTTAGCCTTTCTTAGAGAGCAGTAGCCTCCTTGGTCCCTTCTGAGTCCTTTGAGGCCCCTGATTATTCTCCCTATAAGCCTGGACCTGGTGACCTCCCTGAATATCACATGTCTTTGTGTTGCCAAGACTTCCTCAGCTTCTGCTCCCTTTACTGCTTCCCTGGGCACTGATGCTCTTGTGCTATGGGTCTCAAACACCTTCTTCCGTCTGCGGATTTCCAGGTTTGTACCTCCTGTTTGGACCTCTCTGGAGCCTCGAATCTTTCATGTGAAATCTCTCCACCTGGGGTCTTCTCTATCTGAGGGGAGCCTCCAGCTGGCTTCCTGTCCACTCCTGTGTGTGTCTGCTTCATGCTCATGCTGTGAACCCCAGGCCTTTCTTGCTTCTTCTCTTTCACTCACTCTCCCCATATGGTGTGGCCTCTGCTTGGTGGACTGCCCTTCCTGTGCACACCCCTTTGTCCTCACCCGCCCCTATCTTTACCTTGGCACCCTTCCTCTGTAGCTGTGCCCCTCTGCAGTGCCCCAGTCCCTCCCCTCTGTTCCCTGCACTACCACCTGCCTAAAACTTCCTTTGGACTGAGAGGCTGAGTGGGAGAATGGCTTGAACCTAGGGATTTGAGGCCAGCTTGGGTAGCATAGTGAGACCTCACTTCTAACAAAACAAAACCTCCCTCCATATGTCACCTTTGGAAGGACATCCAGCCTGGCTGCCTTTCTAACCTCCTGGCTACCTGTTCGTAGATGCTGCCTACAGTTGCACGCCCTCTCTGCACCTGAGTCTTTGGCACATAGTGAACTGGTTCTTCCGCTGGCACCTACAGCATATGGTAGACGCCTGTGGTGCAACTGTGCAACTTGCTTGTACCTCTGTCTACTGCAGCAGTAGCAGCAGCAGCCTGGCCTGCAGGGCAGTGCATGCGTTTCCTCAGGGCTGGGTCCATTCCAAGGCCTGGTGCCGAATGCCCGGTGCCTGGGAGACTCAAACTTTCAGCCCAGAATTGGCCATGGCACCTTGTTAATGTCGACAAGCTTGCTAAAGTTGAATGGTCATAGTTGAGAGCACAGTTGACTCTTGTGCTCTGAGTTGCACAAGTGCTGGCCATGGGGAGGCCTTTGAGGTGTAATTAGGCGAACACTGTCTCTCTGCAGACTCTCCAGCAGTGTGGCCGGGAAGATCTGGTGGAATTGGTGCTGCCCCAACTGGCTCAGGTTGTGACTGTGTATGAGTTTCTTCTGATGAAGGTGAGTTTTCAGTCTTTCTCAATGACAGAGGGAATGACTTGAAGTTACTTAGAGAGGTGTCCTTCCAGTGTATTTTAGAACAAACCCAGCTGTTTGGAATCACTTCTCTTCACTAGGGCAGACCTGAAGCAAGTCTCAGGGCTGCCACAGGGCCAGTACCTGTGAAGGGTGAAGAGGTGGGGGATGTTCCAGCAGGCTGCTTGTCATCGCTTCGACTGTTGTCACTTTGTGGAGAATGGCAGTAATGGCAGTAAACCATAGCAGGCCCAGGTTTCTGGGTCCCCACTCCACCTGGCCAGCCTCTACTCCCACTCTGATGACACTTCCCACTGAGGCTGGTTAAATTTCAGGGGTTGTCAGCATGCCCCTCGGGAGCCCCAGGCCCAGCCCATCCTCAGGCCTTTCTGCCTCTCCTTTCCAGTCCTTCAGCTGCCCCAACCTTGGAGCTCTGTGGCTGTCACCCCAAGGCTTTGTTTTCTGGCCTGCTCCTCCCAAGGTCCCTCTTGGCCTCCTAGAGCTGGGTGCAGTGCTGGCCCACAGTAGGCACCCACTGTGGGAGAAGGAAATGCCGACCATCAACCAGTTCCAAGGGTTGAGAAACTCGGACCCTTTTGTGTTGAAGTTTTTTCCTTGTGTTTTTGTGTCATTGCCTTGGGTTTAAACTCTTTTTGTTATCTTTATCTTCCTGAAGGTTGAAAAAGGTCATCTAGCAAAGCCTTTTTTCCCAGCTGTTTATAAGGAATTCGAAGAGTTGCATAACATGGTTAAGAAAATGTGTCAAGATTACCTCAGTAGTTCTGGTCCGTGTTCTCAAGAGCCCCTGGAAATCAACAATAATAAGGTAACGGTCTCACATGGAACAGTCCTTCTCCTAGAGTTAGCCAAGGAAGGACATCTGGGAGCAAAGGAGCGTGCTTTAGTGATGGCATGTCGCAGTCAACAACTTGTAACCTCTCCCAGCAAGTGAAGGTTCTTGTTTCAGTGTCATTGTCATCATCTTATTGCCTTTACCTAGATGGAGTTCTTCACAGAATATAAGTTTTGGGCTGACATGAGTTCGCTTGTCTTGGATAAAGCCTTGTACTGGGTGTAGCAGGCATCATGTGGTCTCATGTACAGTGGCCTTTGGCAGTGACCAGTTTTGGGGACTGGGTTCTGGCCCCACTCTGTACAGCAAGCGCCCCACTGATCCTGACAGAGTCCCAGCTCCTCTGGGTGTGAGCCTCCTTCTCTGTGAAATAGGAGCATTGAATTAAATGGTCTTTTCTGGCTTTCACAATGCTGCTGGGGCTCACAATAGACTTCCGTTTATTTAAAAACGCTTGGTTATGGCGGAAGCCAGTGGCTCACGCCTGTAATCTTAGCTACTCAGGAAGCAGAGATCAGGAGGATCAGGGTTCAGACCCAGCCCAGGCTAATAGTTTGAGAGACTTTATCTTGAGAAAACCCATAACAAAAAAGGGCTGGTGGAGTGGCTCAAGGTGTAGGCCCTGAGTTCAAGCCCTACTACCACAAAACAAAAACAAAAAATGATCAGTTACCAATGCAATAACGGTAAGCATTCAGAAAGGCAGTGTTCACTGAGCCACTCTCCTGCGTGCACTAAGAAGGACTTGGAGCTGCTGCACTTGGTGCAGTCTCCATCAGTGCTGTAATAGGATCTGTGCTGGTTGGTCATCATTATTAGCTTTATGCAAATTCATTATTTAATATATGCCCAAAGAAGCCTTTGGATTTTATTTTCTTTAATTGTATATTATAAAAACGTAATGGATTTCTTTTCTTTTCTTTCTTTTTTTTTTTGGCTAAGCCCCATGTAGATCTCTAGTTCACAACAGTCACCTAAAAAAATTTTTTTCTTTTTGTTTTTTTGGAGGTGGTACAGGGATTTTGAACTCAGAGTCTGGTGCTTGTTAAGCAGGTGCTTTGACAATTGAGCCAGTCTGCAGCCCCTTTTTTTGTTTTTAGGTTATTTTTTAGGTAAGTCTTGCTTTTTGCCCAAGCCATCCTGGGACCATGATTCTCCTACTACACTTCCAACTTAGCTTGGGTTGCAGACTTGCACCACCATGCCTGGCTTGCTTGTTGAAATGGGATCTTGCTAACTTTTTGTCTGGGCTGCCTTCAAACTGTGATCCTCCCAAACACTGCCTCCTGAGTAACTGGGATTACAGGCCTGAGCCACCATACCATTCCACCTATATGTTTTTTTTAAACTGCTATGTTAAAAAAGGGCAGGTGTCTTGTCATGAAACAGCTGGATGCTGTGCACACCCTTTGGAGTCCATATTTGTACCAGGTCAGACTGCTATAGCCTCCTAGAGCAATGACCAGTTTGTAACGTAACCATTTAGTGCAGTTTGAACAGCACTAAACTTAACCCAGCCCTGTTTTCTCCTTAGCCTTGTTCTACCCTTTCTGTCCTCTTATAAGGTCCAGTATAAATGATATTTGCTGTCATCTTTATACTTTTACACCTTTACACTTGTGCTTTCTGTAGGCTTTGCACATGGAATCAAATTTCATCTTCACAAAAGCCCTCCCCAGATGCTGAAGCTATGTAGGTAGACGCAGGAGGCGCAGGGAGGCGGTAGCCTGTGGAGGCCTCCCAGGCATGAGCAGAGCCTGGGATCCAGTTCAGCCTCTCTCAGGCTCCAACTCACAGTTGCTCCACCACCTGGGAGGGGAGATGTGGGTATGGAATAGACAGGCAGGGTTGTTTTTTCTGAAGAGACCAGTGAGAATTCAAAAAGGGTAATGGACAAGAAAGGTATTTTGGTATGAGCTAATGTTATTAAACTTGTGCCAGTATTAATGAGAATGTTTGGGCTGGAGGTATAACTCAAGCAGTAGATTGCCGACCTAGCAAACTTGAGGCCCTAAGATCAATCCTCAGTTACCTCCCCCTCCCAAAAAAGAAATATATAAAGACACAATCAAACATTTAATTTAAAAAACTAAAGTGTTTTGAATTTTTTTGAAGTGTCATTTAATCTCCCTTGTGCACTGTGTTAACACAGAAGCTGCTGGTTTGGTTTGGGTAATGATCATTTCATCATCCATGCAGCTTTAGATTAGTCTTTGCTTCCCCTTGTTAGGTGGCAGTCCACTGTATAAAGAAGCCTCAGAGATTTAAGCTCAGTCATTCATTCTTAGGGGTCAGAATGCTCTACACTTAGGTCTGTTTTAAGCAATGCTTATTTCTACTGGTCCTTTCTCTTCAGGTTGCGGAGTCCTTAGGAATCACAGAAGAATTCCTGAGGAAGAAAGAAAAAAACCTAGACTGCGTTGCACCCAAGCAATCCAGCCAAGAGATGGATGTGGGGAAGCTGGAGGAAGCAAGCAGACAGAGGAGGGAAAATGAGGTGGGCACAGTCCTACATGATCTGACATTGGATTAAGGGATTTACATTCCCCAGTTGACAGCACTGTTCTCCAGGATGGTCAGGTGCAGGTCTGCCCATTACTTCTGTCTCAACTGACCTCTCAGTTGATCTTCTCTTCACAGGCAGCAGAGGAGGGGCTGGCTGCAGTGAAAAGGCCCCGAAGAGAAGCTCTTGTCGCCAACAGCAGAAGTCCGGAGAAGCCCAGGCCCTCGTGTGCTGCAGCTGCCAGCATGGGTAAAGCGTGCTCTGTGTGCTGTGCCCTGTGTTCAGAGGCCCTGTCAACATACACAAATGTGCCCAGGGCTGTCACTTTTTAAGGTTGGATGCCCCTATGGCTAGATTTAATAGGACCCTCTGGTCTCTCAAGTCTTATTCCAACCTCCCAATATGTAGCATTAAACATTCATGCCCCAAGAGGCTCGAGGCCTTTGAGGGTTTCTAGAGCCCCTTATTAAGATGAAGAGTCACTTCATGGTGGTGAGGGTGTGGATACAGGCTGGTCCAAGAGGTTGGGCAGAGATAGGTCCCAAGGACACAAGCACCTATGGTTTGGCTTTCATGAGTCTTGGCTTTGCCTGATGGCTAAAATTTCACATTTGAAGACAAGACATTCTGTGATTAGACCGTATCTACATATGCTTTTTGTTGTTGTTTTGTTTTGTTTCATGGTAATGGGATTTGAACTCACAGCCTTTAACACTTAGGCCACATCACCAGCCCAAACATATGGCATATGTTTTGATAATATCTTTTGTAGTCTTTTTTTTTTGTCAGTACTAGGGTTTGAACTCAGGGTCTTGTGCTTGCTAGGCAGGTGTTCTACCACTTGAGCCCCAGTCCTGTTTGCTTTAGTTATGTTTTCAGATAGGGTCTTTTTTTTGCTCAGGGCCAGCCTCAGAGGGTGACTCTCCTATCTACACCTCCCGCAAAGCTGGGATTATAGACCACCACCCCAGCTTTTTTTGTTGAGATAGGGTCTTGATGATTTATGGCCCAGGCTGGCCTCAAACCATGATCTTGCCATTTCTGCCTCCCAAGTAGCTAGGATTACAGGTGTGCACCACCACACCTGACCCTTTAAAAAATACGGTGGTAATGATGGAACCCAGGACCTGTGTATACTAGGCTAGCATTCTACCACTGAGCTACATCTCAGCCCTTTTGTAAGTTCTTATCAGGACCTTTGATTTCCTTGCCTGATCCTAAGGTCTCAAACTGGAAGAGGCAATCTCCATTTTAGGACTTACTGCCGAGTTCTGCCATAGGGAAAGGAAGTGTGCTCTGTGGGAACATGAACTCTCAACAGTTTGGAACACAGGCCCCTTGCTGAGCTAGTCTTCTTCCTCTTTCAGCTTCTTCCATACTCGGAAGCTAAGTGTTCCGTCCTACAGTTCAGTTGCTTTTAGCCAACATTTCTAAATGTTTGTGTGTGTCCTGCACTGTCCTTGTCCCAGGTGCACATGACTTGGGGCTGAGCAAGAGGATCCCTTGCCCTCAGGGTGCTGACCTCTAGGACATGACCTGCTCTTGCTGGGGCACCTGGGGAAGTTCTTTTGAAGTGCAGGGCCCAGGATTCCAGGCCCTAGGTGTGGGGTGGGCTTGAAGGTGAGTGTTTTGAGTCACCTCTCAGGTGACTCCCTACTCACCCTTGGTGTGGGACCACTGGTTATCCATTCAGTGTTGAAATGAAATCACACTGGTAAACGCTTGGAACATATGTTTAGAACAAAATCTGCCTCTGGGAATAGATAGTAGGGACTAATGCAAAAAAAAAAAAAATTGGCTGCCAATCCCAGGTAGCAAGGAGAGTTGGTGCTGTAATGGTTTTTGTAAGAAAGTTCATTTGGATCAGCTCATTTGAGTTGATGAGTGTGGTGACTAGTGTCTTTCCTAACTACTCAGGTTTTGCCCCTCCTGCCCATGGGAACACCTCTCCCTGCTTGGAAGGAAGCCCAGGGATGCTGGTTTCTGATAGTGACCAAAGTGAAAGCGCGTTACCTGCAGGCCGGCAGCTTGTGGTGGCAGCGTTTGCTGACTTTGAAGCCAGAAGTGGGTCTCCATGCCCTGCTCTCCTGTCTCGGGATGTCAGTGGGCCAGCTCTTTACTCTCACTTAGGGGAACCTGGGGGGCTGCCTTCAGCCCAGGTGTCAGAGTTCCCTGGAGAGGATGTTTTGGAACACACTGTAGACCAGGGTGCCAGGGACAGCCAGCAAAACCCAGGGATCTGTGACACCCTTTCATCAGGTGGAGAAGTGAAGTCCTCACTGCTTGCTGGTTCTGGAAATACAGAGGCAGGGGACCTCAAGGAGACAAGTGATTCCCACCTGAATGACCTGCAGGCCACAGCCCCTCTGCTAGAGGACATTTTGCCCATGGATATCGTGCAGGTAGACTGTGCCTCCAGGACTAGGTCCGAGCCAGGGCCTCATCCTGGCCAGGATGGATCACTGTCAACTAAAAGGCGCCTTGGAAGCCAAGCCGGGGACCTAAACCATCCCTGCAGGATGGAGGTGCACATTAGCCAGAGGGACCTGGAGAGCGTGGCTGCTGTAGGGGAAGCACTGGCTTTTGAAATTACCAGTGGATGCCAGGAGGTGTTGTCTCAGGGACAGGAGCAGATTCTTATTCAGACTTCTGGTGGGCTTCTCTTGTCCCATCCAGGTACCATAGTGCCTCGGGAGGAGGACATTGTCATAGTGACCGATGCAGAAGGGACTGCCATGAGGATTGGCCCACCAGAGGGGGTTCCCCTTGGAATGGTGGAGACGTTCCTCACTATGGAGGCCGAGCCCGATCAGTGACAAGGAGTCAGAACCTCAATCCTAGATTCGTATGTATTTTATCCTAAGAAGGTCTATTTCAGGCAGTGTATATTTTTCTAATGTGAATACTGACACAAGTGAGCCTTTTATTTATAAAGAATAATCTCTGTCACTCTACTCTCTATCTTTCTAAAGAGCTCATTCACGATAGTGGGTTTTTGTATTATTTTTTGGTTTTTGTTTTGGTGGGACTGGGGTTTGTACTCAGGGCTTCATGGGCTTCATGCTTGAGAAGCAGGTGCTCTACACCTTGAGCCACTCCTCCAGTCCATTTTGCTCTGGTTATCTTGGAGATGGGGTCTTGTGAACTATTTGGCAGGCTGGCCTTGACCAATGAGCCTTCTGATCTTAGCCTCCCACATAGCTAGAATTACAGGTCGAGCCACCAGCATCCAGCTGTTTTTTGGTTTTCTGAGAAGTCTCACTGTTGCCCAGGCTGGCCTCTAACTTATGACCCTCCTGCCTTAGCCTCCCAAGTGCTGGGACTACAGGTGTGTACCAATAGCGGATATGTCACTTGATGGCAGACCCCTCTTATATATCGAACTCTGAGGAGGGTTTGGGGTCTTACAATAGTAAATAATAGTAAGTATTACTACAATATTACTTACAATAGTAAGTAATAGTGTACAATCACTACACTATTACTTGTTTATCAGTCCTGCTCCTATTTCCAAAAACGATGTCCCCCTCTCTCCAGGTGATATGCCACTTCTTCATCAGACTTGGGCTCAGTTAGAAAAAATAAAAAGCTATCCATTCTGGATAGTATTTTATTGAGAAGTAGGAAAGTCATTTCTACTTGCTTTTTATTTAGAGATAGGGTCTCACTATGTAGCGCAGTCTGGCCTTGAACTCGACATTCCCATCTCCATCTCTCAAGTGCTAGAATCTCCTTGCATTTTATAGATAAGGAAAGTGAGGCATAAATGATAAATTTACTGGGGAGCTAGAACTCAGGCAGAAGCCCAGGACTTTGACGTCCCACTCGTAAAGTCACTTCTTAGGATCTCTTTTTTTGGGGACATTTTCCTTGGCTATGTTTTAGAAGGGGAAGGTCACTTGTTCACAGTAGATGAGAGCTTTTAGAGAGCAGCTGTTCTTTGCTTCCACCTGGCACACTGGCAGGAGAGACCCCAGTGAAGAAGACAGTACTTGGAGACAGAGCTGGGGATCATGGGTTGCATCTCACCCAGTGCTGTGCTCCCTGTGTGGCCTGCTGTGTCCTACTGCCCTGCTGCCCTGTCAGTGTCTGGTAGACATTTCCTGTTTTCTCACCAGATCTCAGAGCAGGGTTCATTAGGGACAGATGGGTAGGTTACTTAGCAGGACAGGAGCAGCCAAGAGCTGAGCAAATTACAGCAGGTGAGGAGGCTGGCTAGTGGAGCAGATTGTGGTTGTGTCCTGTGGACTCAGGGCCACTTCTTAAAGCCCAGTGTCTCCTGAAAACACCACGAGATCCCCCCGGGATCCTGGGGTTGTGTACAGAGCCTCCTCCTTGAGGATGGTTCATAATTCCATTGAGCAACTAACACAACTGGCCCATCAAATTCAACCTTGGTCTGACCAGACCCTGTTAAATCTGTGCTTGTTTTCTATTTATAGAACATTACTCTATAGAATGGCCCAATGTGTCTTAATTTCACCATCATGTATGTGCTGCTATGAGTGAGTAGTGTATTTACTTTTCTCATTGCTGTGACCAAATATCTGAAAGAAACAACTTAAAGGAGGAAAGATTTATTTTGGCTCATTGTTTGAGAGGTTTAGTCCATAGGGGCTGGCTACATTGTTTCTGAGCCCTTGGTGAGGCAGAGCATCATGGCAGCAGAAGAGTGTGGTGGAAGAGCATCTTCACTTCATGGTAGATAGGAAGCAGAGATAAGATACCCACCAAGACCCTACTTCCTTCAGTTAGGTTCACCTCCTGAAGTTTCCAGAACTTCCCAAAATGGTGTCACTAGCTGGGACCAAGCCCACAATACATGAAACTTTTGGGGGGACATTTCATATCTAAACATTAATGTAAAGTAAGAAAAAAAATTTGCTGTACAGAGTCAAAAGCACAGGAGGCTCTGATAGCAGGACACTGTTCATTGGTGTCAAGCACTGTCCAGCGCTTGTGCATGCTGGGCACAGAACAGACAGCAGGACGCATGGGCCCTGCTCTAAGGAGCTTTGTGCCTCACCTGCAAGATTAGTCAAGTCTGCAGAGTTCCCGAATATAGAGGCAGCTCTGTGGCACAGCTTCTGCACACAGCTTCTGTATTACAATATTCTGCTAATGGGCAAAAACCTCATTTCATATAAAATAAACAAATGGAAAAATTTTCTCTACATACTACTTACAATATACATATATATATATATATGTGCATGCTTAAATATACATATATTTGTCTCTATATATATTTGTTGTTGTTGTTGGCACTGGGACTTGAACTCAGATCCTCATGCTTGCTAGGCAGGTGCTCTGGCGCTCTTACAACTTGAGCCACTCTGTCAGCCCTTTTTTGTAATGGTTTTTTTTTAAGATAGGTTCTCAAGAACTATTTACCCAGGGCCAGCTTCGAACTGCAATCCTCCTGATCTCTGTGTTCTGAGTAGCTAGGATTATAGGCATGAGCCACTGGTGACCAACTAATATTTTTTGAAACAGGGTTTTACTGTGTAGCCCAGGCTGGCTTTGAACTTGAAATCCTCATGCCTCAGCTACCCCAGTGCTAGGGTTACATGTGAGTACTACCATACCAGGCTCACTTATAATTTAGAAGCAGGAGCAAAGAGGCATAGTGCCTGGGGACAAGTGCCACTTAAATTACACTGGTCATTCATTGGGGTGGCTGGTGTGGGGCCTCAGTGAGGACTTGTGTTGCAGAATTTATTATGGTGCCTGGTACTTTGTCTCCATGCACTCACTGTTAATTATTAGTAAATGTGATGGGGAAAAAAAATCCCTTTTTTATATCCCTTGGAAGGCATGACAGGCCCCTGCAGCTGTACCCCATGTAGGCACCTAACAGGGCCTGGGAGTTGGGAGAGCTAAGCCAGCAGGAGCAAAAGAGCATAGGGAGAATTCATCTTTAATGCCACTTTAGGCATTTTTTTCAAAAAAAAAATGTAAGTTTTATCTAATGAATTATATGCACATATTTTAAAATGTCAAGTAATATTAAGGGTCTATGGTGAACAACAGTGGTCCCGGCCTCAGCCCTCATTTCTCCTTAGCTCCTCTCACCTGAGGCAACCACTATCCTCCTTTGAAGTCATTTACCTCCATGTTTCTGAATTACATCTACATTGCTGTTTTCTTTTTCTTTTTCTTTTCTTTTTTTTTTTTTTTTTTTTTTGTGGTTCTGGGGGCTTGAACTCAGGTCCTACACTTTCAGCCACTCTACCAGCCCTTTTTGTGTTATGTATTTTCAAGATAGGGTCTTGCAAACTATTTCCTCTGCCTGGCTTTGAACCTCGATCCTCCTGATATCTGCCTCCTGAGTAGCTAGGATTACAGGCCTGAGCCCCTGGTGCCAGCTACATTGCTGTTTTCTTGCTTTACCTGTATCAGATATTATTGATGGAGAGATTTGAGGCATGAGAATGAGGCTTGCATGCCTTCCTGACCCTCACTTCTAGTGTAGTTCTATCACAGATTGTCAAGTCCATATTTCCCGCTTATGTCAATATATAAATGCCTTTATCCATATTCTAGGATAACATATTATTATAAGCTTTTGTTTTTCATAGAAATAATTGCAGAAATAATTGCTTTAGGCTTTTTTATTTGCTTAGGTTCCCTCTTTTCTGCTATTTGTTTTTAACAAAATTATATGTGCACATAAAATGTCATTTCTCTAAGACTTATCTTAAACAAAAAAGCAGTCTCTCCAATTTCTCTCCTTATTTATTTTTTTTGGTGGTACTGGGGTTTGAACTCAGGGTCTCACACTTGCTAATCAGGTGTTCTGCCTCATGAGGTGTTCTATTGCTTGAGCCACTTGGCCAGCCCTGCTTTCTCTTTTTGAAGTGACCACCCTAGGTCTCTCTCTGCTGTCTCTTTCAGCATTTCTGCTATGGCACTAATAACAGGTTTACATGGTTGCTTCTAGAGTTTCATTTGTAGGCATTATGTACTGACTCGTGGAAGATGAACACACTCATGCTACTCCTACTATCATCACTGCCACCCAGGGGCACACTTCCCTTCCTCCCACCTAATAGGGTATCAGCTGGCAACTTTAATAGGAGGACAGGGATAACAGTGACTTAGATAGGATTTTGTTTCTCTCTCAAGTAAAAGCATGAGCTGGTAAGCATTTAGGAAGTTGGCTCTAGACCCGGGTTGCTTCCTGCCCCCCTAGGATGGCCCTTGTCCCCAGTGTCAAAGATGGCACATCCTCCTCACATGCTTATCCTAGCTCTAAGAGGAAAGAAGGGCAAGAGAAGCACACACATCTTTTAGGGGCCATGATCCAAAAGCTGCACACAACCTCTGCTTACACTTCAAAAGTCTTAAACCCACTCCAAAACTGGTAGCCATATGCCCGTCTAGACTGAAATGAAATGAAGAATCAACCTGGAAGGACAAGCCAGGTCTGCCAACCCCCTTCTCCCAACATGTGTGTTTCACATAATGGAGGATCAGTCTGGGCAGACTGCAATGGCTCCCAAGCCAAAGCAGCTTAATACAGCAAAGGCACTGGGTGCTGGTGACATGCCTGCAATCGAGCTACTCAGGAGCAGAGATCAGGAGGATCGCAGTTCAAAGCCAGCTCAGGCAAATAGTTCACAAGACCCTATCTTGAAAAAAACCTTCACAAAAATAGGACTGGTGGAGTGGTTCAAGGTGAAGCCCAGAGTTCAAGCCCTGGTACCACAAAAAAAAAAAAAAAAAAAGGCATATGTGCTTCCCATTCATGGAAGTCCGCCAAAGACTGGAAGGAGGGCTCTGCTCACATGGCCAGATGGGGGACACAGTCACTGGGGCAGCCACATCTCAAATACTTCTGGAGACCATGCCAGAGGTGAAGAATACAATCACATGCTCTTGGAACAACTTAGTGGCCACAGCTAGCCATATGGTCTCACCCAGCCACAGGGAAGCTAGAAGTGCAGGCTTCCATGACCCCAGAAGGCAACAGCAGGCACATTTGATGGGAAGCGTGAAAGACTGCTTAGACTGGCCTGATGAGCATGGTGTTACTGGTTGTGCCACAGGTGGTACACTGTGCATTTTAGCTATGCATAAGCTTGGGTTTCCTAGAAATACAAAATATATATTTAAATAAATCAAATATTTATTAATGTAAATATATGAATATATATATCTTTAAATGGACTTATGAATTAATCTCCGAACCTTTCTCAGTCCTGTTCTGTGTGGGTAGATTTCAAGCTTTCATAGGCCCATTTTTTGGTCAATTTGGCAGGATCTGTGGAGGTAGAGGACATAATTGTGTGTGAGCCATCATTATGCTTAACTTGGAACCATTGCATCATCCTCTTTCATGGTTCCTTTTACACAGAAATTGCTCCTCAGATTCTGGTGGGTTTTTTTTATTTTTTAGCAATTGAACCTAGGGCCTTGGGCATGCTTGGTAAGCACTGTACCTCTGAGCTCTATCTCCAGCCCTTTTAAAATTTTATTTTGAGATCTTACTAAGTTGCCCAGGCTGGCCTCAAACTTGCCATGTAAACTATGCTGGCCTTTAACCTGCAGTCCTGAGTAGCTGGGATCACAGATGCGTGCTCCCATGCCTGGCTCAGGTTCATTATTTTTGTCCATCCTTAGGTCTTTTACTTCTGCTTCTCCTTAGCAGTATTGATCCTTTCCATCAGTTCTCCTGAGCAACATGCTGACAATGTCTGAGGAGCATATCAGCCATGTCCTAGAAGGCCTGTTCACAGTGCCAAATCTTTCAATGTCTCCCCTGAAGAGCATTTATTCTTGAAGTACCCACAAACATGAAACTGGTTGCTGATGGGCCTCATGCCCAGCCCTCTCCCAGACTGGAGGTCAGAGCCTATACTGCTGGTTACAACAGCCCCTACAGGGATGTCTGGCAGGACAGTGGTATTCCTGCCCAGTGCTGCTCATGCTGCATGCAGACTACAAGATATGGGAAGGTACACTCCTATGATGGTTAGATTTTAATTAATACAACAAAGACAGAGGAAAAGGGAATCCTAAGAAACGCCGCCCTTAAATGCTTTGAGCCTGTCAACTTGTACAGTGAGAAATTCAAGCTCTCTCTCAAAATACATCCCTGTCATAGGCAGTCTTTTTTGTTGCTTTTTGAGACAGGGTCTCACTACATAGCTCAGGCTGGTCTTTTTTTTTTTTATTCATTTATTCATATGTGCATACATTGTTTGGGCCATCTCCCCTCCCCCCACCCAGGCTGGTCTTGAAGTCTCAATTTTTCTACCTCAGCCTTTGGGGTGCTGGGATTATGGGCCTAGCTGTAGTCTTTTATTTTGGGTATACTTTCTTTATTTCTCTGGGAAGCATTTGTTCCTCAGACGCTATAACTTCAGTTTCACAGGTTACGGCACACACTTTGCATACCATTATGTTTCTTAGTTTTTTTTCTTGGGAGCAATGGCAGAATGGAAAACACACACACACACACACACACACACACACACAAAGCAAAAAAAAAACCCATTTGTGACACAAATGTGACTTCCGTGAGTGTGTTGTATAAGTCTGTCTTCCCTCTTGGCCCAAAAGTCTCAATAGGAGATTTTATGGCTGATTTGTATTTGAGCTCTTCGTTCTGAGCACAGGACTGAGCACGTAGTATATAACTGCTTGGGGAAAAAAAAAAGAATATGAAGAAGACAGAGGTTGGGGCTGTATCTATGATCTAGTAAGACAAATTGGACTAGAAAAAAAGCCAGCCTGGGGACTGCCAGTTATTAGCAAGGACCTTGGACAACTGCATCCCTGACTCTGTTTTCTTGTCTATAAAAAGGAGGGAGCAGGAATTAAAAGTCATCATCTCCTAGGGTTCTCCAGGGCATAAATTCTATACCGGTAGGCCCTGATTTGAATTAAAATAAAAAATAGTCTTGAAAAAAAAATAGTCTTGATAAACTTAGATAAGTAGTGTTAATGATTAAGTATAAAAGCTCAAATGACATAATTAAAAACATTTTACTCACTCTCGCAATGTACACAGTTTCACGGAACGTATACAATTTCAGGGTATAGAACTTTTTACTGGTCTGTTATATCCTCAGCATGCAAGCAGCAGCATTTTTCGTAGTTTTCATTTTTCGTATCAGCCAAACATTATGCAGTTGACTCTAGTATTGTAAACATTAGTTATAGGTACTGAATATATTCTCATATATATGAATATATACACGTCTGGGGACATGGCTTAGTGGTCGAGCACTTGCATAGCATGTGTGAGGGACTGGGTTCCATCACCAGCACCACAAAATAAAAATAAACAAAACAAAAACAAAAATGCTAAATGTAGATCTAAAGTAAAAAAAATATGAAACTAGGGGTTTTCTACACAAATTAATATGTAAAGTAACTTATGTTACAAAACCCATGTCCCTGAGTTCTATTAAGGAGCTCATGCATTTCACTCAGAGGTGCTAACAACAGCTTTGGGTGTGGTGAGGCACAGGGGGCAAAGCTGCTTCAGTGGCAGGCAGGCCTGGAGAGGCCAAAGGGGCTGCTGAAATCATTCTGGATCACCAGTATGTCCTACTCAGGGGACTGTCCACCTGGGGGTCAGGGAAGAAGCCTGGAGGGTACACCCATGGGCCACCGTGTCTGGGGAGTCACAATGGCCGGTGGCCTGTTTCCAGCAGCATGCTCTCCAGGTGCAGCTTGCTGTCACTCTCTATGTAGGGCTGGTGCAGCCACATGGACAGGTAGCTCAGGATGAGGTTTCGATCCACCGCGTGCGCCAGCTCTGCACCCACGGTGCGCTTCAGGAGGAGCTCCTTCCTGTACATGTTAGAGAGCTGGCAGGAAACCTCGTCTGAAACAGAACAAGTCAACATTAGCAGCATGATGACTCAAGGACGCACCTGACTCAAGACGAGCCACTTTTCAAAGGCTCTTTGTTAAAAACCAGAATGAGCAAAGGCATTGAGATAAAGGAGCAGATGCGTGGCTACACTCCAGCTGGTGCCAATTAGGACTGTTAGCTACATGCTAAGAAGCATGGAGCCACAAAGGAAATTCGGGCTTTCTACTTAACCCTTCAGTGACACACAATGAGGATTAATGAGTCCCCTAAAATTGACCATATTTCAGTAAATATACGACACTAGGTATTTTGCCTTTCCTCCCTTATTTTAAAAAAGAAAAAAAAAAAAAAGAGCAAAGTCTCAAACCAGCATCAAAGAGCTTAGTTTTTCTTCTGAATTAAAACTGAAGGTGATCTTTTAAGAAGTACCTCACAGAGCTTACATAATGAATTTCATATTTCTCAGTAATCATCTCTCAGGTTAGCTGCAATGCTCCCCAATTTATTTTTAAAATTAAAACAAAAACAAAACACTTTTTCCTCAGTAATAAAAAAAAAAGTTAAGAGATTTCTGCCTCCGCAGAGGCAGAGAGGGCTGATCATGCCACTTGCATCATGCTCTCTAATTACTTTAGTTTGCTCTGCTGATGACCAGGCAATTACAGCCTAGAAGAAACACTCATTTTTAGGAAGCCACCACCTCCTCTCCAAAGGACCAGATCTAAGTGATGTTAATGCTCTTCTAACTTTTATTCTCCTGCAATCAATTCAGAAAAAGCTACTTACAAAAATGGGTGGTGGGCCACGTGTGAAACAGAGGGGGCTGTTTACTCTCCTCCCCATAATGGTAATTTTCTAATTCACAAATTCCCTTGGTAGTTGAAGACAGCTTCTCCATTTTCACCTGTATTTTAGACTGAAAAGAAATTAATTTGGATATGAAAATACTACTTGAAATCTGTAGTCAGGATTCAATAACTATAAGATTTCAAAGCAAAAGCAAAAAAAAAAAAGGTATAGGTCTGTTGAGGCTAAAATTCCAATAACTAAACACCATTATCTCCATGAACAGTAAATTTCCAGGGAGATGGAGGCAGACAGTTGTTATGATTTCATTAATTTAGATTTTTTTGATAATAAGCCCTGGATATTCAATCTTGGAGAAGTGAAAGCTTTGCTGAGCCCCATTTCACTAAGATTCGCAAACATCACTAATGTTTTAGCTCCAAAAACCTGGAGGAATCCCAGGGCAGACACTTGCTGCTTGTATGGAATGAAGGAGAAAAAGCATTCAATGAGCTGTTTCTGACTTTCATTAACTGCCTCGAGTTTGCTGAAGCCTCTAGTCTTCAGAAAATTTTATACATTTTCTAATGTGTAAAATGATAATAATGAGAGGCAGGCCTGCACACTTCACACAGGAAGGAAGCCATGAGGATGTAGTATGGCAGACTCCCTCCTAAGCCTGTAGCTCTGTCCTCTGCACAAGCCACTGGGGAAAAATGCTAACACCATCACCACTGTAACACAGGCAGCAGGGAGTGGTCCAATGCAATGCCTGTTTTCATAGTGGGAGTGAGGAGGTGAGATTTAGTGTTTGTGGAGCTATATGAGAGTCTGTTAAATAAAACAGAAGAAGTGACTAGGATTTCAGACTTAAGTAGCAGAAGTCTATTAAAACCAAATTTCTAACTCCTAGGTATAGTTAATTTTACATGCACGGGGGAGTAAAAGATATATAAATCATCAAAATCTTAATTCCTTGCACTTGGTCCTTCCAACCACCCTCTGATTACATCTGAAGCGGCATACACTGAATTTAGAGGTTATTAATTTTTAAAGGACTTTAACTCCTCTCTCAAATCTTTTTTTAGGTTCGATATTTTACTTGGCCCAAGCTCAAGAGATAGGACTCATCATTTCCGTTTTACAGTTGGGAAAACTGCTCAAGGTTGAGGTAGGACAAGGACAAGGCCAGAACTTGATACTGTGCCTTCTGACCCAAGTCCAACAACACCCAGGCCTCTAAGCTTTCCTCTGCATCCCACAGCAGCTCCCTGTTGCCACCTGAAGCAAAGAAAAGTTTACCAAGAACTGGGCACCAGTGTAATTCTAGCTAATCAGGAGGATTAGCCCAGGCAAATAGTTAACTACCCTATCTCAAAAAAATCCATCACACACACCCAAAAAAAAGGGTTGATAGAGTGAGTTCAAACCCCAGCATCAGAAAGAGATGAAAGAAAGGAAGGAAGAGAGAAAGCAGGGGAGAGAGAGAGAAAGGAGGAAGGAAGAGAAAAGAAGGAAGGGAGGTAGGGAAGGGAGGGAGAAAGGGAGGGAGGAGGGGAAGGAAGGAAAGGAAGGAAGAGAGGGAGGAAGGAGGGGAAGGAAGGGAGGGAAGGAGGGGAAGGAAGGGAGGGAAGGAGGGAGGAAGAAAGGAAGGAATGGAGGGAGGGAGGGAGGAAGGAAGAAAGGAAGGGAGGAAGGAAGAAAGAAAGGAAGGAAGGGAGGGAGGGAGAGAGAAAAGCTCAAAAAGATCAGGACAGGAGGAAAAATCCTGGAGCCTGGACCCTATGATAGTCTAGGCCCACACAATTCTGTAGCTCAGCCACCAACAAAAAAGTCACATGAGCATGTGCATCCCTGACCTGACAACACAACCAGCAGGCCACACTCTCACTTCAACACTGATAGTATAGCAACAGGGGTGAATCAAACCCCAAGGTCAGATTTATAGAAGACACTTAAAGCCAGCTCTGGGAAGCCATTACTGAAAGGCTGAGGGGAACCAGAAATAGCATTCATATCCTTACAACTTCGACTTCTGATTTTGAACACTGAGTGAGAACTATTTCCAAAGCAGCTTAAAATAGATTTAGTTCACTGGAGTAGGGAACCTCTAACCTGACAGCTGGCATGTGGATCTTGGTTTCTTATAGGATTCTCCTATCAAGGAACCTGGGCTCCTTGGAGAAACGTCTGGTTCTAGAACTAAGGCAGAAAATACAAAAATGAGCCTGGAACATCTTTCAATGCCAGACAGTAAGCCAGTGTTCAAAAAAACAAATCCAGAACTTCACCACAATACTTCAAAGGGACATAGGAGTGGGAGAAGTGGCCCAAACAATGTATGTACATATGAATAAATGAATAAAGAAAAAAAGGGACATAGGAGCCAAGTAAACTCCCAATTGCCAAAGAAGGAACAACTTGAGTAAGAAAGTAGATTTTGGACTAGGAGTGTGGCTCAAGTGGTAGAGAGCTTGCCTAGCAAGTGTGAGGCCCTGAGTTCAATTCCCAGTACCACAGGAGGAAAAAAACAAAAGGAAGAAAATAGATTTGGATTATAATCCAAAGTCTAAAATAAATATCTTTAAGTACAGACTGATGTAAATAAATGAGTAGCTAACAAATGAAACAAATCTCCCATGCAGACGAAGTCCAACTAATTTATGTATACACTGCCCTCGGAAGGCTTTTATATTTTTAAGGGTTTTTTTTTTTTTTTTTTTAATTTTTTTTTAATGTAGCACTGGAGGTTGAACTCAGGGCCTCATGCTTGCAAGGCAGATGCAGGCTTTTACATTTTTTACTGGCCAAAAAAAGGCAAAAGAAGAGCAAGGACTGGCAGAGTGGCACAAGTGGTAGAGCGCCTGCCTAGTAAGCAGGAGGCCCTGAGTTCAAACCCAGTACGATACACGTTAAGAAAATAAGAGTATTTTGTGACACATGAAAATTATATGCAACTCAAATTTCAATGACCATAAATAGAGTTTTAAAGGACCAGTTCCATATCTATTTGCTTATGTATTGTCTATGGCTGCTTGAGCCCTACATAGTAGTGTTGAGGACTTCTAACAACAGAGATGATCTGGCCCACAAAGCCTAAAATATTTACTCTGTGGATGCTCTCAGTGAATGAAACTGTGGGGACAATGCAAGGACAGGAAGAGTGAGTGTCTAGGACAGAATCTTGGAAGCATCAAGATTTGTGGGATGGGAGCCAGGCTTGGTGGTTCAAGCTATAATCCCAGCACTAAGAGGGTGAGGCAGGAGGATCGAGAGCTTGAGGTCAGGCTGAGCTACACAGTGAGACTCTGTCTTTAAAAAAAAAAAAAAAGAAAAGAAAAGATTTGTGGGATAGGTGGAGGAAGAGAGCATCAGAGGAGCCTGAGGAGGAAAGGGTCTCCAGTAGTTTTGAATGCCTCAGATGGTTAAGCAAACCCCAAATAGGCCCACTAGATTCAGTGACAGTGACCACAGGTAGTCAGCATCTCTAGGTCTTACCAAACCATCCAAGGTGGCCTGAAGTTCCTCACATAGTGTCTCAAGTTCTGTGTCATATTCTGGGTATGTCTTTTCGTCATTTTCATTGGAAGCTGGCCTGTTGTTCTCTAATTCTATCTTGTCTTTACTCCTGGATAAAAACAGAAGATAATAGGTATAAATTATACCCCTGAAACTCACCTTGTGCTGAGCATGAGGGTACACACCTGTAATCCCAGCACTTGGGAGGCTAAAGTAGGAGGATCACAAGTTCAAGGTCAGCCTGGGCTACACAGCAAGACCCTGTCTCAACCAGGCCTTGGTGGCTCATGCCTGTAATCTTAGCTACTCAGGAGGTAGAGAACAGGAGGACTGGTGGTGTGGCTCAAGGTATAGACTCTGAGTTCAAACCCTAGTACTGAAAAAAAAAAAAAAAGATCCTGTCTCAAAAATCAAAACAAAAACAAAAGCCACCACCCAGTTGAGTGCTGTTGGTTCACACCTATAATCCTAGCTACTCAGGAGGCAGAGATCAGGAGGATTGAGGTTTGAAGCCAGCCCAGGCAAGTAGTTCATGAGACCCTATCTTGAAAAACCCTTCACACACACATACACACACACACACAACACACACACACACACACACCACACACAAACACATGGCTGGATTGAGTGGCTCAAGTGGTAAAGGGTCTGCTTAGCAAGTGTGGGACCCAGAGTTCAAACCCTAGGACTGCTCCCAAAACCCAAAAAAACAAAAACAAAACCAAAAAAGCCACCCTCTAAAACAAACAAATAAAAAAACTTCACCTCATTTTTGGTATAATAAATCCTAGAAAACTCACTATCTACATAATATGCCAGACATCTTTTTGTATAAGCATTGCTGTTTCCTGTCATTATAATACAAATTTAGTTATTATTGGCAGTACTTGGATATGAATTCAGGGCCTCACACTGGCTAGGCAGGTGCTCTACCACTTGAGCCTCACCCCCAGCACTTTTTGCTTTAGTCCTTTTTCAGGTAGGATCTCATGTTTTTCACACAATCCTCCCCGAGCAGGGATTACAGGCATGCTCGTTTGTCGAAATGGAGGGGAGGGTCTCACTAACTTTTTGGTTGGCCTCAAACTGCCATCATCCTGATCTCCACCTCCCAAGAAGCTGAGATTACAGACATAAGCTACCATGCCTGGTTTCAGTTATTATTTACATATACGAGGAATATGTCCATTGGTCACTCAATTTCTCTTTCTGTCTCTCCCTTTTCCTCCTTCTTTTTGTCATACTAGAGATTGAATCTAAGCATGCTAGGGAAGTACTGTATTGCTGAGCTATATCCCTAGCACTGGTCACTCAATTTTGCACTAGAATTAGTCAAATTCAGCTGTGTGGCATCCTTGGAGTAGGGTTCAGTGCTGGTTGCACAAAGATAAATAAGAGTCATTTCCTCAGAGTTCAGAATTTGTGAATATGTTTTTTTAAACTGAAGGCTGTGACCCATATGGCTTTGGTATTAAAGGCTTGGTCCCCAGCCCATAGTGCTATTGGGAGGGGGTGGAACCTTTAAGAGGTGGGCAATGGGAAGGTTTCTGGTCATTTGGGGGCATGCTCTTGGAGGGACTTTGGAATCCTGGCCTCTACTCTTCCTGTTTTTGGTCCTGGCCAGCAGGTGAATGGACTTCCTTAGCCCTGAGCTACCACTAGGATGGGCTGCCTTGCTGTAGGCCCAGAGGCAACAGGGCCAATTGACTATGGACATAAAAACCTTCCTTTTTTGCTTTTTTTTTTTTTTCCTTGTGTACTGAGGATTGAACACAGGGAGCTATGTCTCCAGCCCAAACCTTTTTATGTATTTTTTCAAGCAAGGAGCAACTGAATGATCCAGCCCAAACCTTTTTAAACCTCTTTTTAAGTTGGTTTATCTCAAGTGTTTGTCACAGTAGCAGAAAGCTAATACATTCATGGCTCATGAAACTAATCTAGTGGGGTCAAAAAAAATTAAATTTGAAAATATCAGAGCTGTGAGCCAGTGGCTCATGCCTATAATCTTAGCTACTCAGGAGGCAGAGATCAGGAGAATCATGGCTCAAAGCCAGCTGGAGCAAATAGTTCTCAAGACTCTATCTCAAAGAATACATCACAAAAAAGGGCTGGTGTATAGCTCAGGATATAGGCCCTGAGTTCAAGCCCCAGTACCATAAAAGAAAGAAAGAAAAGAAAATATCAGCAAGAGTTGTTTCACAGAACTTGCTGAGCAGACTCTCACCAAATAAAGGCTGAAAACACATGGTGTGTTTGGGTGAGTCCACTAAAGAGCAGGCTGGTAAAAAACGGGATGAAGCCAACCAGTTAAGACACTGCCAGTAGACAGAGGCAAACTAAAGGATATTTACGTATTTTAATTGTCACTTTGAGAAATTAAAAAAATGTATATATAGGAAAATGCAAAAAACAATAAAGCAAAGCCTCCAACTTCTAATAGTTTTTCATGATTCCTTTGTCTTTTATAAAGAAATAAAATGAATTGGATGCAGTGTGGTGCACCTGTAGTTTCAGCTACTTGGGAGGCTGAGGCAGGAGGATCACTTGTGCATGGGAGTTTGAGACTAGTCTAAACAACAATAGAGACATGCTGTCTTAAAAAATAAATAAGTTGGGCTTGGTGGCTTACGCCTGTAATCTCAGAAATTTTTGGTCAGAGATTGGGAGGATTGTGGTTCAAGGACAGCCAAGGCAAAAAATCAGTGAAAGCTCCATCTCAACAAGACAATGTTGTTGTTGGTGTGCACCAGTATGAGCATGAAGTCCCATTTACCCACCACTCAGCATCCATTCTTTCCAGAAGATTCCAGTATCATGGATTGAGTCTGCATCCTTCCAATTTGCTTTTATTATTCTATATACAGATGTAACCACAAACAATATGCAATGTACATTTTGTACTATACACAACATACATATATGTGTATACTGTGCACACAGTTCATACTTACATGTATCATTTACCATCTTTTTCCTTAATATTGTCTTTATATACTTATTCATGTCCATAAACTGTCACCTTAAAAGACTCCCATGACTCTTCTGTCCCTCATTAGGAGTGAAAGCTCAGGGTATACAGATTCTGTGCATACTTACAATAAGCTGATTTTCAGATTCGCAATGCTGCTTGCAGTAGTAAAACCTGCATCACTGAGGCGTTCCCATTTCAGGATTAAATTATGCCAGTCAGCTGCATTGTCCTTAATTTTTCTTGCACTGACAGACAAGACAGGTTTTCTGGGTGTTGCAATTCCAAGAGTTTTTGCTTATAGGAACAAGAGAAATATAATTATTATGGAAAATTTGACCATGGTTGGAGGGCAAATGCTTTTTTAACCTTCAACTGTCAAATTATCTGAAATGCAACATCAGCTGGACATATAAATGTCAAAGAAACTAAGAAGTCTATCCCAGCTTCATGGCTCCATAAGTTTTTACCTTAAGCACTTAGACTACATTTTTTTTTTAAATTTTTGGTGGGATTGGGGTTTGAACTCAGGGCTTTGTACTTGCAAAGGAGGTGCTCTACAGCTTGAGCCATACCTCCAGTCCACTCTGCTCTAGTTATTTTGGAGATGGGGGTCTCATTAACTATTTGTCTGGGCTGGCCTTCAACTGCAATACTCCTGATCTCAGCTTTCCAAATAGCTAGGATTACAGGCATGAGCCCCCAGCACACAGTAACAGTCACTACTTTTAAAGGCTGGCAATAAGGTACAGCTGTGACTTTCTGCTAAAATTCTTCAGTGACCCCCATTACTTACTCTGCAGGATAATCGAGCGTGTCTCTTTTGTACGCCCATTACCTAGTGTTAGGCACTTTGATACCTTAAATTCGTTCAGAGCTTTGTGGCTCCTGAGAACTCACTGTACTAAGATGCTGAGAAAGAGGGATACAGAGGCACAGAGGTGACCGAGAACAGGCTGCCACTGACCTGTTTGAGCTCAGGAGGAAATCCAAACTCCTCCTGGCTACTCAATGCTTACCTCACTCCCCACCCAGTTAGAATGAAGTACTGGCAGTCATTGAGGGGGCCTTTGCACATGCAGCACTCCTGCTAGAAAGCTTCTTCCTTCCTCAGGCTAGCGCTGCCCACCAAACAAGACTCACCCAGATCCCACTGCCTCTGAGAAGCAAACCCTAGACCACCAAGGGTGGACTCGGCTGTTTGTCTTTCCCAGCCCTCCTGTGTCCCTCCTTTCTTTACTCAGAACCCTACAAAAGCTTCTTGAAGTGGGCTTGAGGAGCCCAGGGCACACAACAGCCGTATACTTTAGAGGCTAAACTCTGAAGACCAAGATGCCTAGCTCTTGAAACCCAGCTCTGCCAGCTATGAGATCTGGACATTAGTTAACTTCCTGGAGCCTCAATGTTCTTATCTGTAAAGTGGGAATGGAAATAATATCTGCTTCATAGGATTGTTAAGAGTAGATAAATGTATGTGGAGTTGTGAGTGCTGGGCACATAGCAAACATCCAGTCTACTTCCTGATGTCAGGGCCTCAAGTACATAAGACTGCCCACCCCTGCTCCAGCATCGTCTCTCCTACTTGCTCTCTATGCTTCACTGTTGGTTTCTACAGTCCTGACTGACTTAGAATGTGTTTGCTGTCAGTCCTCACCTCTATCTAGAATATCTTTCAGGGCTCAGCTTTTAAATATAATGATTTCTCATTCATTCTTTACTTAAACAACTAGCAAATGTTTGCTGACTGCCTACAATGTCAGGTACCAGGGAAAAAGTAGCTGAATGAGATAGACCAGGACTGTTTCCATGGAACTTACTTTTCATAGCAGAGGAAGATAGTAAACAACTAATTTATAATGGCGATCATTATCATCTGAGTGTCAGACCCACTGCTACTCCTTTGCATACATCATCCCACTCAGCTGTCACTCCACATGTGACTGACTGGTTTCCGGGCAGGATGCTGAGCCTGCACGGAGCCAGCGGACTGCGCTGGGGTCCGGCACGACCCCCATTTAACCTGGGGAGTTCCGAGATTCTGGCCCAGCCCGCAGCCCAGCTATAACAACCGCAGCCTCTAGGCCCAGATGCATTCAACCCTCTCACGCACCTTCCATGAGGTCGGCAGATATCCCAGGAAGGAGATTCGAAGCCCCGCCCACAGCCGCCGGAAGCAACGTCACTTCCGCCCCCGCCCCGCCCGCTGACACTTGTGGCTGTGCCGCTCTAGCCCCCGGCGGAGTCAAGCTGCTACTCGCGGGGCCTGTACCCGTTGCCCAGGGAACGGACTCCCGGCAGCCCCCGCGGCCCGAAATCCATCCCGCCTCCTCCGGCCCGGCGGGGCCGACGAGTCCGGAGGGGCTGCCGCGGGAGGTGAGTCCGGCGACGCCGCGGGCGGCCCCGACGTCCCCGACGCCCGGCCCTGCGCCCTCCCCTCAGCGGCTCCCGGGGCCACCCTTCCCTCACCTCAGCCCCTCACGATGTCCACTGCCCTGCTCGCCACCTTACCCTCGCCCGCCGTCTCGCCCTCGCAGAATAGCGGGGACCAAATGCCACAGCACACGAAGTGCCTGGCAGAAGCCCGCGGTCCGTGGAGGGGACCAGGCGTCACCGAGTCCTCGGACGCCACCTCCGGGCTCGCCGCTGAGCACCCCGGGTCCCCTCACTCCTCCCCTCCTCCTGCCCCACCCTTGCATCCCTCTGAGAGTCCCGGGCTCCTCAGCCATGTCATTGACGTGGCGTTCTGTCCCGCGACCCTCAGCCCTGTCCCTACACCCGCCCGCCAGCATGCCTTGACACCCAGTAAGTGTTCAGTAAAGGGATAAGCCGAGTGACCCCTCTCTCGATCCTTATTATAAAGGCCTTGGAGGCAGAATGGACAGTGAGGATTAAAGAATGGAGTCAGACCTAGAATCAGGTCTGGGGCAAGTGCCATCACTTCTAATAGGCTTCAGTTTCATTATCAGAAAAATGCAGGTGATGACAACTTCTGCCTCGGGGATGAGAGAGGACTAAATGGGTCAGTGCATATACAGGTAAACCCATTGCCAGGCTCAGTAATCCCAATAAAGGTTGGCCCTGCTCTTCCTCCAGTTCTCTGCCCTGATCTTTTGTCTTCCTCCCATTCTTGCCATCATTTGGGGATTTTATTGTTTTGTTGCTTCTGTTCACTTGTTGGCAGAACGCTGGGCACTAGCCTGAGTGCACCAAAAGTCATCCAGGGAGTGATCAGTTGCACTTGGGGTTGACTTTTCCCCCCTTGTAGTCAAGGTCTTAGAAACTTTAAGGAAGGGAGTTCTGGAAAATCCCCAAGCCCAGATCATGGGGATGGACAGAATCTGAAAATGAAGCTGTTGTAGCCTCTGTCACCTGTGAGCCCTGGTCTTCTAAGCTGCAAGACTTTTTGTACTTAAAATGCACGTTAATACACCTCCAACCTTTTTATAACCTGACTTCACATCCCCTGTTTATTCATTTAGTGACCATTTTGGGTCCATTGTATGCCAGCTACTGTGCTAGGCTCTAGAAATGCTGTGGTTTAACCTACAGAATCAGTCTCTGTCCTGAGGGAGTTGAGTTGTAGTCTGATCTTTCAAACATTTGATCTTTCAAACCTGAGAGTCCTGTAGAGGGGATGCTCCACTTGAATTTTCAGGACTGGCTGGAAACCAGTAGTGGGGAAGGTGGCATAAGGATAGCCTTCTGCAGGAGTGATAGGGTCTCATGGAACTATTTGCCTGGGTTGGCTTGGAACTGTGATCTTCCTGATCTGTGCCTCAGTAGCTAGGATTACTCCACAAGTGCCCAGCATCCACATTGTCTTTTTCAATGGACCTCTGACTCTACTGGATTTGTTTTCAGTTTTTCTGAGAGAAGTTATGCTTCAGGTTTGAGGAAGCTCTTATTTCATATTAGCTTCCATATAATTTGAGCAAAATGGCTACTGAAAGTGGTAAAAGGAAGGAAATAGGCATCAGGCAGAACAACTGACTGGACTTGGAATGATTAACAAATCAGGAACCAGTTGTATGCATACGAAAACAGGCCTTGGTGTGGAGCATGGAGAGATTTCTAAGTATAGTGACCCCCAGGGAGATTGGTAGAATCAGGAGGCAGTAGCTGGCAGCTTTGTGAGTTGTGAAGGTAGAAGTATCCCACTTCTTGGAGATATTGGAGAGAATCCTTAAACCATTAGTGTTCTCAGAGCCCTGCAACATGGCATCACTGCATCAAGTGGATGATTGATACTACTAGCTCTAGGTTTCCTATTAGCTCTAGTTTTGTAAAACTACGGAGGTAGCAGCTGGGTGGTACTAGTCAGTAGTGAAGGCTAGCTTCTACCTTTCATGTTAATGAGATTGAAGAAAATTGGAGTGTTGTTTTGTATTTTCATGGCCAAAGAAGCATTGTTTTAAAAAAGTGGATGCTGAGGATGTATCTTAGTGGTGGTTTGTCTAGCATGAAAAAGGCCCTGTATATGATCCCCAGCACCTTAAAAAAAAATGGCTTGAATATATTCTTTTGCGGTGAGACTCACAGTTAACATTTTATTTATCCAGTCTTTAAATCTTTATTGAGCATCTACTCTATGCCAAACAAATGTTAGGTACAAGGGATTGCATTGGTAATCAAGATAGATAAGATAAAGAAGAGTTCCTTACCTTCTCAGGGAAGAGCTTGTGGAGGAAATAAAGTGAGGATTATGGAGGGAAGAGGGAACTCTAGGTACTGAGAAGGACTTTCTATCATGTTATGTATATGCTGAGACCCTGGATTAAGAAAAGGCCACATCTATAGACTGAATCATTCTGAGTGGAGGAGATAGTCACAAAGCCTGAGTGGGGAAGAGAGGTCCTTGGTGCTAGTGCTTGGAGAACAAGTGGAGAGGTGGAGATGCCCTGGGGAAGTGGGGAAGGGTTAGACCACAGACAGTAAGGTATTTGGTTGTTACTGTTTGAGAACTGGGGGAACAGTTGGAGATTTTGAGTACCATAGATGCTATGGTGTGATTTTTCCATGAGCAAGTTGGTTTTTTGTTTGTTTCGTTTTGGTAACAGCTTTAGGAAATAACTCACAAAACACAACATTCACCTACTTAGAATGTAAAACTCATTGGTTTTTAGCATATTCATAGTTATGTAACCAACACTACAGTCATTTTCACAACTTTTATGTTGCGGGGGAGGGGAGGTTGAGCGTTTTTCAGACAGGGTCTTGCTATGCTGCCCAGGCTGGCCTGGAATTCATTAGATAGCCCAGTCTGGCCTGAAACTTGAGGTCTCCTGCCTCAGCCTCCTGAGTGCTGGGATTACAGGGGTATACCACCATATCCTGCTCAGTTTGTTTGCAATCATCCTCATAAATTTAGCTCTTTTAGACATTATTGTAGTTTTTTGGGGTTTTTTTTTTTTGTGGTGCTAGGACTAGAACCCAAGGCCTTGCTCATGGTTGGCAAGTGCTTTACTCCTGAGGTACCCGCTCCCAGTTCCAGTTATACAACTTTTTTGGAAGCCCTATACACTTTAGCAGTCACCCCAACTCCCTTCTCTAAGCCCTACCACTCATCTACTTCCTATCTCTGTAGGTTTGCCTATTCTGGAGATTTATATAAATGAAATTATTCAATATGTGCTCTTTTGTGTCTGCTTGCTTTCACTTAGCATCATGTTTTCAGGGTCATTCATATTATAGCTTGTATTATTGCCTCATTGCTTTTTATTGCCAAATAATGATCCATTGTATAGGTATACCATGTTCATCAGTTGATTGATAGGTTGTTTTTACTTTTTTGGCGATTACAAATGGTAAGAACATTTGTGTTCAAGTTTTGGGGCAGATTTATGTTTTCATTTGGGGGGGCACAAACCTAGGAATAGAATTGCTGTACTTTATGGTTACTCTATGCTTAATAAGAAGCTTGTGTCTCTTTTGAAAGAATGTCTATGAGGTCATTTGCCCATTGAAAAATTACCTTTTTTTTTGGCAGTACTAGGGGTTGAATTGGGGGTCTTGTGCTTGCTAGACAGGTATTCTACCTCTTGAACCATATTCCCAGCCTCCCTCCACCTTTTTTTTAAACAGTACTGAGGTTTGAACTCAGGGCTTCACGCTTGCGAACCAAGTACTCTGCTTACTGAGCCAAACCTCTAACATAGATTTTTTTTTTCTTTTCAGTTATTTTTCTGTTAGGGCCTAGAGTTTTTCCCTGAGGTGGGCCTCCGACCTCAGTCCTCCTACCTACATGGGACATAGCTGGGATCACAGGCTCACAATACCATGCCCTATTTATGGTACCATGCCAAACTTATTTATTAAGATGGGGTCTCACTAACTTTTTGCCCTGGGTAGTCTCAATCTCGCTCCCAATCTCCAATGCCAAGTAGCTGGAATTACAGGTATGAGCCACCACACCCAGTTAAAAATTATCTTTTTTTATTGAGTTTTAAGAGTTTTTTTTTTTCTAGATACAAGTTTCTTGTACCCAGAAAATATTTTTTAGCAAATATTTCTCTCATTCTGTGAGCTGTCTTTTCACCTTCTTATTTATTTATTGCAGTGCTGGGGTTTGAATTCAGGGCCTTCACCTTGAACCACTCCACCAGCCCTTTTGATAAGAGGTATTTTTGAGATAGGGTCTTGTGAACTCTTTGCCTGGGGCTGGCTTCGAACCTCAGTCCTCCTGCTCTCTGCCTCCTGAGTAGCTAGGATTACAGGCGTGAGCACTGTTGCCCAGCTTGAACTTTTTTTTATTAAAAATTTGGTTATGCTGTTACCTGCCGTAGAATTTTGACAGTTTTAATCACTGCTGCACTCCCTCCTTTCACGTCTGGAAGTTGCTTTTGGCTGGAGGTGTAGCTTCGGTGGTAGAGTGCCTGCTTGGGGAAGTGTGAATCCCTGAGTTCAAACCCCTGTGCTGCCAAAAAGGGAAAAAAAAGAAAGAAAATGGAAGTTGCTTTCGGCAGTATTATCACAGTTGTGCCAAGTAGACAGTTCTGGGAATTTAGACCTTCCACAATCATTGTTAAAATGTTCTGAAGCACCGTGAACATCTCAGCTCAGTTACAACAGTGTGCCTGCTCTGCAAATGCAGTTCCCAGGCAAATCCCCCAGCCCATTCCAGCCAGACTCTGTCTCAGAGCTCTCCTCTACAGAGATATGGAGCTGTCAGTGAGCAGTAGTGAACTAAGTGAATGAATTTTTGGAAACTAAATGACATAATTTGACCAAACTACTTTAAGGAAAATTTTTTGTTTGTTTGTTTGAGATAGGGTCTCACTATGTAGCCCAGGTTGATCTTGAACTCGTGATCCTTGGTCTCAGCCTCCTGAGTGCTGGGATTATAGACTTGGACCATGAGGAAGAAAAGGTTTTTTTTTTTTTTTTTTTTGGGTAGTGGTAGTGAGTTATTTGTTTTTTTGTGTGGCAGGACTAGGTTACCACTTGAGCCAAGCTCCCAGTCCAGAAAAGGATTTTTTTTTTTTTTTGGTTTGAAAAGGATTTTGAAAGGAGGAAATAAGCCTTAGTACTTCCACTGGCTTCCTAGGAAATCTTATCAGTTAGCAGATAAGAAAGTTCAGGAGGATCATGGTTTGAAGCCAGCCTAGGCTTCAAAAAATCCTTTGCAATAAGGGGCTGGTGGAATGGCCAAGGTACAGACCCTGAGTTCAAACCCCAGCACAGCAAAAAAAAGGAAGTTGCTATGGTTTGGGTGTGTCCCCCAGGGTCTTTGGGAGGAAGTTGGGATTAGATGAGGTCATGGGTGGGACCCCATGATTGTATTAGCTTTGTATAAACAAGAAGAGAAGCCTGAGCTAGTGCTTGCTCTGTCTTGCCATGTCTTCCACAGCCTTGGAACTCTGCAGAGTCTCTACCAGCAAGAATGACCTCATCAGATTTGGCCAACAGATCTTGAACTTCCCAGCTTCAGAACTGTGAGCTGAATAAACCTTTATTTTTTTTTTTTTTTGGTGGGAACTTAGGGCTTCACACTTGGAAAGCAGCAGGCACTCTGTTGCTTGAGCAACACCTCCAATCCATTTTGCTCTGGTTATTTTGAAGAAGAGGTCTCTTGAACTATTTTCTTGGGCTAGTCTAGAACCTCCATCCTCCGAATCTCAGCTTCCCAAAGAGCTGGGATTACAGGTGTGAGCCACTGGTGCCTGGTTTAACCTTTATTCTTTATAGATTACTCTTGTCTATAGTATTCAGTTATAGCAACAGAAAATGGACTAAGACAAGTGCTTAACAAAGAGTATAGGGTGTGAAGATCAAGAAGTAAGAGCCAAGGGTGTTATAACTGAAGCAGTTCAACGTGGCTGGGGGTTAGTTTAGAGATCGTGGGGCTGCAGGGGTGGCATAGGCCATACCACCAAGGTCTTGTAAGCCAGTGATGCCTGAGTTCTAGTCTGGAGAGGGGGCTGGGGGGCTAACTAGACAAGGGAGTGACATGTCAGCTTTGCAGTGGGAAATTCCTCTGTTTGCCAAGTGGATGAGGTGGGAGTAGGAGGCTAGCAGATGGCTTAGGGCACCAGGGAGAGCCCTGGAGGTGCAAGCTGGAGGAAGAGGGACAGTGGGGTGCATGGGAGATGTATTGGACAGGTGGCCCAAGCAGCTCTGTAGAAGTTATGAAGACGTAACACTAAGTGTTTTCTAGACATTACTCGTTTATTGTGCAATACATCTGGATGTAGGATTTTTTTTTTTTTGAGACAGGGTATCAGGCTTAACTCACAATCCTCCTGTAGTCTTCCAAGTGCTGGAGTCACAAGCAGGCATGCCCAGTTTGTAATGTAGGTTTTTACTAAACCCATTTTTCAGATGGGTAAATAGAGATCTAGACAGGTTAAGTAATTTTCCCAGGGTCCCAAAGGAAGTTTTAGGGTATCATTGGGTTTTGGACCCAGGTCTTTTTTTACTCCAGTGTTAAGAACCACTGCACTATACTGCTTTTCCACAGTGGAAAGGGTCAATTTTATGGCAGTGAGTCTGGACCTGGGGTAGGATGGAGTGGAGCATGTGGGCTTGTGTGAAAGTTAGGCAAGGAGGGTATAAAAAGTTCTAACAGGAGAGTGTGTCGAGTCTAAATGGCTTTTCCCAGACCTAGTACAGGTTAGGGAAGCAGCGCCTCTAGACTTCTTTCTCAGCCTCCTAGACACTTTGTTTCCTATGGGCAGTTTTGTAGGGAGTTGACCTCAGCCTTCCTCCCATCTGCACATTGACTGAGGGGCACAGAGCCCCACCTAGGGAGATAAACACAGATTCTCATGTCTGCTTTGGGCTTCCTGTGTGCCTGACTCTTCTGGCCTCTAGATGTCCTTTGGAAAGACATATTTAAGGCATAAATCAATATGACCATTTGGTGATACATTTAAAAAAACATTTTCATCCCTTAAAATGTTCCCCAAGAGTATGTGTGGATATATGTCTATGTTATTTATGATGGTGAACTCAAAACATTTTGGTTGAGAAAATTTTAGTTTATCCATAGTGTGTTCTTTGCAGTTTTCCATTTAGTCACTAAAAATCATGTTGTAGGGCTGGAGACATGGCTCAGTGGTAGAGTGCCTGCCTAGCAAGTGTGAAGCCCTGAGTTCAAACTCCAGTTAGTCAGTCAACTCTGTAGAAATTCAAAGAGATTATAAATCTAGCATCCTAACAAGTTTCTATTAAAAATACTCAAAACGGGGCTGGTGGATTGGCTTAAGCAGTAAGAATACCTGCCTAGCAAGCATAAGGTCTGGGTGGCTCATGCCTATAATCCTGCTGCTTGAGAGGCTAAAATCAGGAGGATCAAGGTTTGAGGCCAGCCTGAGCAAATAGTTTGAAAGACCCCATCTCCAAAATAAACAGAGCAAAATGGACTGGAGGTATGGTTCAAGTGGTAGAGCACCTGCTTTGGAAGTGTGAAGCCCCAAGCTCAAACCACAAAAAAAAAAAAAAAAAAAGGCTGGGTGCCAGTGGCTCACGCCTGTAACCCTAGTACTCAGGAGGCAGAGATTAGAAGGATCGAAGTTTGAAGCCAGCCTGGGAGAATAGTTCTTGAGACCCTCTATCTTGAAAAACCCTTCACAAAAAAGGGCTAGTGGAGTGGCTCGAGGTGTAGACCCTGAGTTCAAACCCCAGTATCATAAAAAAAAAAATTTTAAATAAATAAATAAAAAATAAAAATACCCAACATAAAGAAGGGTGATGGAATGGATCAAATGGTAGAGTGCCTGCCTAGTAAGTGTGAGATCCTGAGTTCAAACCCCAGTACTGCAAAAAAAAAAAAAATAAAAGAAGCTCAAAAGGCTTCATAGACCCAATGAGCTAAAGTTTGCCTCCAGGTTGAACCGGTCATACAGTGTTAACTCTTCCTGTTTATTGTCCATCAGAGCTGTGCCTAAGGACCCAGGCCTTGGAGGGAAAGGACCTAGATTCAAGTCTCTGCTGTGTGGTCTTGGCTTCTTCTAAAAGTTGAGGATGGTGCCACCACCTATCTTCTAGGGCGAGGGTTAGGGAGTGAATGAGAACTTTGTTAAGTGTGGCATACTGGGTGAGGGTGCAATATCTTGGTTCAGAGCATCCTGCAATGCAGAGTGCAACGAGGCTTGGGGCTCCTCGTGGGGCAGCTGTGAGACACTGAGTGGCTGGGCTCTCAGCACTGAGGCTCAGGGGCCATATTTCTGCGTTTGAGAAGGGTTCACTGTTCTAGTATAAAGTGACCTTTTCTCTTTCTCTCTCCCATATCCTGTCCAACCTGATGGGCTTCATAGTTCAGGATGTTTGCAGCAAAGTCTTCTCCACCTTCACTTTAGCCACATTGCTCTCTCCTCCTCTCATCGAGACCTGTGGATTGGCATGTAATTACTTGTGGTTTTGTGTCACTTCATTGTCTCATCTACCTTCCTAGCTTCATAGTTGAGAGGAAAAAACTGTGTTTTAAACTTCCTGCTTCTCCATAGTATTAGTATTTACTGCTATATAAATTATCGGGGCCAGTACCTACTGAACTGCATTTTGAATTGTGAATTAAAATGCGCTAAAGTGATCTTACTTTATTTATCTTCTCTGTTTAAACTGTAATTCTTTTTTTTTTTTTGTTGGGACTGGGGTTTGAGCTCAGGACTTCATACTTGCAAAGCAGATGTTCTACCATTTGCCTGGGCTGGCCTGGAACCTTGATCCTCCTGATCTCAGCCACCCAAATAGCTAGGATTATGGGCATGAACCACCTTAACCCAATTTCCATGTTCTATTATTAAACATTACTATGCCTGCCTTTTTTTTTTTTTTTTTTGGTGGTGCTTGCTAGGCAGGCTCTCTACCACATTGCTTCTTTTTGACGTGACTAGGCATTGAAAGAGTTATAGTATTTTATTCTGTAGTCCCCCAGGTTTCCTTTGATGACGAATGAACTTTCCTTTTTCTGCCTGAAGAACGTCTGTGGAAACCTTGGTCATGGCATCAACCTTAGAGCCTGTTACATTCAGAGAGTTCTGCCCTTTGTACTATCTCCTCAATGCCATTCCCACAAAGATCCAGAAGGGTTTCCGTTCTATCGTGGTCTATCTCACAGCCCTCGATACCAACAGGGACTACATCGCGGTGGGCAGCAGCATCGGCATGCTCTATCTGTACTGCCGGCACCTCAACCAGATGAAAAAGTACAACTTTGAGGTGAGTTTGCTTCTCCTTACATCTTCGTGTGCACAAGCCATGGTTGATGTTTAATATGCTTGTGTTCTAGACTGGGGTAATTTACTTCTGATTACTAGAATATGGCTTCATACCTTACCCAAATAATACTTTAAAATCATTTCCCCCCCTTTGGTGATGGTGACGAACCCAGAGCCTTGCATATGCCAGGCATGTGCTCTCACACATAGCTTTTGTGAAACTCAGAGGTGACTGAGTTTGGCTTTTACCACATGGTCTTGTAGGACTTTATTCTGCCTTTGATTGGTGGACTTTTATGGACCACCATATGGGTTCTGTGTTTAGGAGAATACAAAATACTTGTGTTTTAATCCAGCCTTCTGTACACATTTTTAAAAATTTATTCATTTATTCATATGTGCATACATTGTTTGGGCCATTTCCCATTTTAAAATAATAAAAATGATCAGCACATATGTAACTCTTACTGTGCGCCAGGCATTGTTCTAAACCTTTATCTTACCAGCTCATTTCATCTTCACAAAAACTCTGAGATGGATGTTACTATTATCATTCACACTTGTCAGGGAGCCAGCTGAGAGTGTCACTTATGTAGTTCCTAAATGGCAGCAGCATCATTTGAACTTGGACAGACTGTTTCAGAGTCTGTATCAGTATTTTTTGTATAAAAATTAGGGGCCAAAAAGAAAGAAAAGAAACGAAAAAAAAAGAAAGAAAGAAAAAAATTAGGGGTCTGGGGATTTATCTCTGTGGTAGTGCAGTATACTTGCCTAGCATACACAAGGGTTTGGGTTCAAGCCCCAGCACTATAAAAAAATTAGAACTATTGTTACTCTTTTTCTTTGAATAATATCATGGATTTGACTGATAAAGTTCCCCAAAACATTAATAACATTATATAATTAACTTTAAACTATAGTTACAAATTTAGCATATTTGAAATGCCTCAAATACTTCAAACACTTAGCAAGGAAGGCTTATGAATCCATTTGTGAAACCCAGCAGTATAAAACAAATACATCATCAGAGACATCATGACTGAACTGTTGGGGATATGGAAAAATCTTAAGAATAGCCAGAAAAAATGATATATTGCCTGTAGGGGACAGTAGTATGAAATCATGGAGGGCAGAAGAAAATAGCACAATGTTTTGAAAGAATTTTCCAGCCAGAATTTCTTAATCAGTGAAATGACAACTAAGAAAGGAAGTGAAAGCCAGGTACCAGTGGCTCATGCCTATAATCCTAGCTGCTCAGGAGGTAGAGATCAGGAAGATTGAAGTTTGAAGCCAGCCCAGGCTAGTTCTCGAGATCCTATCTTGAAACAACCCATCACAAAAAGGGCTGGTCGAGTGGCTCAAAGTGTAGGTCCTGAGTTCAAACCCCAGTACCCAAAAAGGATAGAAGGAAGGGAAGGGGGGGCAGAGAAAAGGGGGGGAGAGGAAGGAAGGGGATGGATGTGTGGTGGTGCACACTTGTAATCCAGTACTCAGAAGACTAGGGAAGGAATGGTGAATTGAGGCCATTCTGGGCTACAGGTAAGACCCTGTCTCAAAAAAGAAAAAAAGGTGAAACAACCAAAGTATTCTCAGATTAAGTAAAATCGAGTCATTGCCAAGACCTATTCTGAAGTCATTGCTTAGGGAAGTTCTTCAGACTGGGAACTCAACATCAGGATCAAAAGGAAAACAATAGTACATCCTTGGATAAATACAGTAGACTATTTTTCTCCTATTGAGTTCTTTAAGATATATTTGACAATTGAAAGTACTTATTCTGCCAAAACAAACAAACAGAGAAAAAGTAGAATTGAACCCAGGGCCTCATGCAGGCTAAGCATCCATTCTACTACTCTAGTGTATATATGTATTGTATCTCTAGAGCAACCACTAAAAACCAAAAACCCTATGCAATGAGGTATGGTAAAATTCACAATAGATACATCAAAATGAAATTTTAAAAATGTTTCAACAACTCAGGAAAGCAGGAAGGAGGAACAGAAAAAGGAAAAATAGGAGAAACAGAAAACAAATAAAATGATAGACCTAGGAGGTATGCGTCAAGTAGTAGAGCACCTTCTTTGCAAGCACCGAGCCCCAAGTTCAAACCGAAGTCCCACCCAAAAAAACCATTTTTTAAAAAATTATAGTCCTAAAAGTAAGCATATCAGTAGTGACATTAGATGCAAATGATCTAAACATGTCAAGTCATACTGTAAACATTTTTGTAAATGTCACAATATACTCGCAGTACAACAATAACATGCTAATAAAAATAAAGAAAAAGGGAGGGAAGAGCTTGAATAGCCCCATTACCTGGCACTGCAATTGAATAAAGGTGATAAGACAAGAAGATTAAAGTATAAGCCAAAGAATAAAAGCCCCAGAGGGAAAAAAAGAAAAAGGTTACTCCAGTGAGACTTTAGTTTTGTTTTGTTTTGTTTTGTGGTACTGGGGTGTGAACTCAGGGCCTACACCTAGAACACTTCACCAGCCCTTTTTTGTGATGGGTTTTTCAAGATAGGGTCTTGTGGATTATTTGCTCAGGCTGGCTTTGAACCATGATCCTCCTGCTCTCTGTCTCCTGAGCAGCTGGAATGATTTACAGGCGTGAACCTCCAGCACCCAGCATAGTTATTCTTAACTCAGGGACATTGATATGTAACTTTTACCTAAATTATTTTTTTCAAGTTTTAATATATTGTTTTTGGAACATGACATTGGTATTTAAAAAGTCATTCTAAAATAAGAAATCATATAACATTAAAATTCTACAAATGTTAGAATTTAAAATAAATTATTAATCAAAGAAACAAAAAAGTCACTGAAAAGAGATGTCGTTTTTAACTTCTAAGATGGAAGTAACTGACAAGAAACTAAAAGAAAAACCTGTAAAAAATCCATTCCAGTCCAGGCACTGGTGGTTTACACCTGTAATCCCAAAATTTAGGAGGCAGAGACCAGGTGCAAGCCAGCTCCTGGCAAATAGTTCTTGAAACCCTATCTCAAAAATACTTAAAACAAAAAATTACGGGTGGAGTAGCTCAAGAGGTAGAATGCATGCCTAATAAGCTTGAGGCCCTGAGTTCAGACTCCAGTACCACCACCAAAAAAAAAAAAAAAAAAGAATATATTCATTTGTTGCTTGTACAAACACAACAACACAAAGATTTGATTGCCACAGTGTGAGCCTAGAGATGAGTCAAATCTTTATGTGGTTATTGTCATTTTCATCATCTTGAGATCGTTCAGTACAATCCCCTTGTTTGACAAACAGGGTTAGAGGTGAAGCTCAGTGGTAGAGTGCTTGCCCTGAATTTGAGCCCTTATGGTTCTGTGAAAACAAGAACTTCAGGTGCCACAGATTAACTGTAGGATTCTTGCTCCAAACCATTTGTCTGGTTGCCTGGCCATTATGTCTTCCATTCACACCTCAGGATTTAGAGAATCATAGAAACCAGATTCACAGTCTCTTTGAAACTTCCAAATGAAAATTGAAAGATGTATCAAATAATTTAGTTTTGGGAAAACCTAAGATTTTATGGTGCTTTCTTGAGGGACCTTTAAAAATGTATTTTTAAATGAAAAATACAAAGTTAGTTATCTTCTAATAAATCCATGGATGAAAGATGTTTTTAAATGAAGTATGTTCCTGAAGAAGAAAGCAGACCTTTAATGTGGTAAATACAGTCTGGTATGTACTTTTAAGAATAGTGTTTTTAGAAATGCTTTTTTTTTTTTTTCTCTTTCCCACAGAAGTTAGTGGGAGAGGGCAGATGGAAGTAAGAAATTCTTCCTAGCAACTGCTAAAAGGCACTACAAAAGTGTTGCAAGGCATAAATAGCAAGTACAAGATGTTATAAACTTGTTAAATACATGACTGGGACACATGTAAGCACAGCCAAAAATGATAACTTCACCTGAGTTTCTAATTTTCTGTTTTGAAACCAAATATATCTTTTCTTAGGATTCAGTTGAAATTTCACGCATTTGCCTTGAGGCCTAACCACATGAGTTATGTACTGACCACAGCACGGTACCTGATGGTGGAGTGCTAGCTTTCATGGCTGTCCTGTCTCCAGGCTTGTTCATTCAGCAAGTGTTTATGGAGTGCTCAGTATATGCTCAGCTCATGTCAGATCCTAGAACTGCAGTAAAAAGCAGAATACGCAGTCTTGGCCCTGTGAAGCTTAGAACTATGGGGAGAAATCTGAGAAGGAATTCAACTAGATGTGGGAACAAAAAAGCAAACAAACAAGGTGGGGGACATGCTGAGGGGAAAATAAATCAGAGAAGGGGCTAAGCAGTGCCAAGAGGAGTATGTTTTTTTTTTTGTAGTACTGGGGCTTAAACTCAGGGCCTACACCTTAAGCCACTCCACCAGCCCTTTTTTGTGATGGTGTTTTTCCATATAGAGTCTCAGGAACTATTTGCCAGGGCTGGCTTTGAACCTCTGCCTCCTAAGTAGCTAGGAACATAGGCATGAGCCACCAGTGGCTGGTGTGACTGTGGTTTAATAGGAGGTCCAAGGAAGGTCTGGCAGAGTAGGTGAGATTTGAACAAATAACCAATGAGAGTGAGCAGCCATGCTGATTTGTCTGGGATGGAGTATTCCTCGGGAAGGAAGTGTAGTCTTGAGCCTGAGCACATGGTTGGGATGTTATCCAGTCAGAAGAATCATGCTTTGGAAGGTTATGAATGTCTCATTGGCTTCAGCTGGTTTATTTTCTAAACTGAGGCAGAAATGAGAGTTTTTATCTTATCTTATCTCTCCCTGTGGAAGTAACCCTGGATCTTGTGACTGGGAGCCTGTGATACTTATATATCCGGCTTCACATGGCCTTCTTAACATGAACTGCTTCAATTCCTTGGTTGCCACAAATTTAGTTTCAAATATTTTTAGCAGTTACAGTAAAAAATCCATTTTATTACATGTTCATTCTTCCTAAATGACCCACATTCAATTTAATTCCAGCAGTTTTTGTTGTTGTTTTTTGTGGT